TTCCACAGTCTTGAAAAACTCCTTGCTCTTGATTTGTCTGTAGGTGCGAATGAGTAGTTTTGTCCCCCTCCCACTACGATTAGGCCACAACCTATGGCGAATAGAGCAGATGACATAAATTTAATTTTATTTATGATTACCAATTCAATTTATAATTAATGAATGTTTCTCTCAAAGACATAATTCCAAACAAAAACCCATCATAATTCAATCTAAACAAAATTCGGTTTAAAATCTCCAAAAAAGTGGAATCCTACTGTCAATGCAATCAAAGAAACTGTCTGATTTGTGCTCGTAAACGTTCTTCTTCGATGTTAAGCATGAAAAACTCGATTGTGTATGATGAGAATTCTCCTGTTTCCAAATGCACTGTCGAACAACCAAAACCAATCCAGCCATTCAATCGATCCATCTCCAGACAATAATCCAATTACATGGGGAGAGTCTCAGTCAATGTCTCAGCTTCCACTAATTCAACAAACAATTATGGCAGAACCAGGAAAACCTCGGTCGAGTCCTCCCCTCCCAAAGACAATAGTATGATATTCGCTAATCCCCTATTTAGTTATTGGCAAGCACTCCTTTAAATACCTCTACGTAATTGGGAAAGGAGGCTTCGGAAAAGTGTGGAGAGTCGAGATGAAAGCCAATAAACAGGAGTTCGCATTGAAAGAAATGATTAAAGCAAAGTATACCAAGCATACATTAAATAAGGATCATATCCAAACGATCTGTTAATTCAGTCATGAATGAGAAATACCTTCTTGAGCATCTCAAACATCCTTTCCTTGTCAATATGCATTACGCATACCAAGATAGAGAAAATCTATTCTTAGTTCTTGATCTCCTAAGAGGAGGCGATCTTCGTTATCACATTGGCCGATAAAAGAGATTCACCGAAGAATAAACAAGTAAATATTAACATTTATAAAATCAGAGTTTTTTGTGTGTTGTATCTTATTGTCATTGTAATACTTGCATTAAAATGGTATCATCCACAGAGACATCAAACCCGAGAATTTGGTGTTTGATAAGGATGGCTACTTGAGATTGACTGATCTTGGAGTCGCACGATTGAATAAGGATTCCTCAGCCAGTGATACATCAGGAACTCCTGGCTACATGGCTCCTGAAGTCATGTGTAGAATGGATCATTCATTCCCAGTAGACTATTATGCTGTCGGAGTCATAGCATTCGAATTACTTCTTGGAAAACGTCCATATAATGGAAGAAACAGATAAGAAATCAGAGAGTAGATATTGGCTAAACAAGTTTAAATGAGAGATGACAAATACTCAGGCAAAGTTCAAGATTTTATAAACAGAGTAAGTATTACCATAATCTTAGTTATTGATACGTAAACCTTAATAAAGATTAGGCGCTTAGGGAATACATGAGTTGTTTGAACACCCTTGGCTAAGCAATTACAATTGGGGTAAATTGTTAAACAAAGAGATCCAAGCACCTTATATACCTGGAGTATACATATAATGATGATTTAGAACATAGATGGCAATTTTGATTACCAAAGCCAGATATCTGCTGATTCGGAACCTTAAGAAGAAGCCTCAACCTTGCTAAGAAGAAAGAGTGTTTAATGTTTATTTGAAGGATATAAATATTTTTGATTATAGTATCATTTTTATTTACTTACACCTAAATTGGCCACTGTAATTCCTGCATTTAACATAGATACTAAGTAATTGGCATATTCATGAGCACCTCTCTCCAATTCTTCAGCTTTTCTCTTCTCCAATCTCTTGTGATGATTCACAGTCTCTTATTTGATTGTCTTGATCTCTGATTTCATCTTCTTCTTTCTATTCTCGTTGTCATCTCTCATAGCTATAGCTTCAGATTTCAATTGATCAGCCAATTTAATATATCGAGCAAACTTTAACTCAAGTTCATCTTAATTTTTTTCAGATTCAGTAAATTTCATTTTGTATTCTTATATTTAATTCCTTGTTGAATATTTGTTCTCAGCAAGATAGATCTGCACAATTGGAGAAACTACGGTATTTATACATAATATTTACATTTAATTGGTACCATAACTCTCTTGTTTCTTGCCTTGACTGTCGTTTAACTCAAAACAATAGGTGGGAGTGATTACTCATATTGTTATTGCTTGGCAAACTTCTACTCTGCTTACTTTTTGAATATATTGCCTGCTCCTAAATCTAGGTTCCACTCTTTCAGATACTTTTAACTATTCGCTATCTCTATTCCTGTAAATAGATATGAGAACTCATCCAATAATTACTTTTTCAAATCATCATTGAATTTGCTCCTACTCAAAGGGAATGAGTAAAATAAGGCATAGAATACGCTTTAGGCTAAAATATCAAAGTAAGTCTTAAAAAATAATTGTCTATCATCTTTACGATCGATTGTCAAAAATAAATTGATATAATTCCTAGATATTCTGGTGAGCAACTTTTAATCCTCCTTTGGCAATTTGTTAAAGTTAATCTTGGGGTAGGTTTCAGAAGTTTCATCAGGTTGGATTTCTCTCTTAAAAAATTTGGTAACGACATACCAAAAGGAATCTGAAACAACAGCTTTGTGTTCTTCTAAGTTCAAATATTTCTGCCATTATGTAAACATGGATTTTACCTTTATAATATGATCTTAAGTTTACTTCTAATAAACCATCTTCTTTGTCATTTGATTTGGAGGGGAATTTCATACTATTTAACACATTTGTGTTGATTTTCTTGAATTCCACTTGGTTTGGGAGTGGCGTGTAGAGTTCATCGAAAGTATTTGGTGGTTAAGCTTCTTCAATCTTTAATATGGTTGTGGCTTTGTTCTATTCCTAAGGTTCTGTGATGTAGGTTGCTGTTCCTAAAAAGGTTGTTGTGGTTGGTCCTCTTCTTAAATCAGGAGCATACATTGTTTATGAAATATGTGAATGAAAATTATATTGATTTACAACAATATTATTTATCAATAATAACAATATATTATATACACAGCTTCAAGGAAATAATATGATATTGAAATATTGCTTCGGAATCTACAAATTTAATCCCATAATTATTCAACGAGTATCAGCATTGCTTAAGGTTAAACCCTATCCAGTCAATGAGAATATCCAATATCAGGGAGAAGTCAGAGTTATTGATGATAAGTATAAACTCTTGGGAGTGATGCCATTTCAATAGGCCAAAGAATAAGCAATCCAAGAAGAGAAAGAGATCATTCTTATGAATGAAAATGTCGAACCTCCCCTATGTAGAATATGTGATTATTCTGATGAATTGGCATAAAGATTTCTCACAGAAATTTCTCCACCCTTTAAAAAATTATAACCTTAAAGAAATATAAAAATAGGATCCAAAATCACATTTTAGGATTTGCAGATTAAGGTAATAGCAGCAGAAACCATTCTGAAAAAGCAAAAGAGAATCATTGTTAGCACTGTTTGTTTTGAAAATGAAGTGTTGATATGCAAAAATATTTTCTATAAAGTTAAGCATATATGATAATTTTAGTTTAGGGACATGTGTGAATAATTTATGAAACCATTAAGTAGTATTAGATCTCGTGAGTATCAGGACACTTCAGAATAATATAGATCGAAAGACGAAGAAAAATAACCACAAATAGAACTAGAATACGAATTTGAGAAAATAGGTGAAATTGAATAGCCTTAACAGATTCCATAGTTGAAGATTGAAAGATAAATTAATCAAACATATTCTTTAACTACTAGGTAGATCTTAAATGAAATATGAAAGATAAGAATTATTTAATGCAGATGAAGCTATCAAAGAGTTCAATAAATAAATCAAAAATATTGATAAAGAAGAGGGAAAAATAAATGAAGAAGATTTGACCAATGAGAAAATTTGGCCCAAATAAAAAATGAAGAGGAAAATAACCAAGTACACATATCCAAAAAAGGATATTGATACGATTATGAAGGAAAAGGAAAAGGTTGAAAAGGGAGAATAGGTTGAAAAGGGAGAAAAGGTGGAAAAGGGAGAAAAGGTGGAAAAGGGAGAAAAGGTTGAAAAGGGAGAAAAGGTTTGATAATTTATTATTTCTAATTTTTAAGAGTAAAGAAATTAAATTTACATTTCATTTTTTTATTGTATACTTAGTACTTGTTAATTTAGTAGTTGTAGTTGTTGTTGATAAATTTACTAACTCTTTTGATATTTCTTAATTTTTTCTTTCTTTTTCGAATTTCTAAATTAAAATTGAAAATGTTACTTTGTAATAGATAAAATATATAAGCAATAGCACTAATTGTAATACTGAGATAACCATAAACATTTCTTAGGCACTATATGCTATTTGACATGCATCATCTTTATAGTTCATTCCTTACATATAAATCAAAACTATATTAAATATGCATAGCTTACCACATACTGGTATCTGGGCTAGAATTCCGATTGTTGCCAGAAATTAGTAAGGGCCTGCTACTCTTTTGTTTGCACTCATAAAGAAATTATATGGAATTCCTAATACAATTAGCCAAACTGTTGAAAATATCATCAAATAATAAATATTGTCTTCCAAACAGCTTTGTTTCTGATTCACTAATATTAGATATAGAGAAATGCAATTTATTGGTAGACTGGTTATTCTTATAACAATTTAACTGAAAAACAATGCTAATACAACCTAAATTAATTTCATTAAATTACCCATAACGCAGTTGTTGCCTAGAAGTAAAAGGTTAATTGCTAAACACTAATGACATATTCGCATTCATTCATATTGATTTGGGTAGTCTGATAGCTCTTCATAAATTCTATGATTCCCCAACAAATATTTAAAAAGGCTAACAAGAAATTGTCAGAAACTTGCATTTTCTCTTTAGCCTTCACATATAAGAATGCTAACAAATTGAGAATTATCATGAAGCTTGCCCCTTAACAGAAACCTATAAAAATTATAGTCCATCATCTAAATTTTAGATTATTTCTACTTGAACATGATTGATTAACCTTGGTAAGCATTTAAATTGATAGAATTGTATAAGCATTCATTCTCAAATACAAGAGAATTATATGCATTCCTCTATCTGCAACGTTCATAATAATTTATAATTATATATATTTATAATTTCTGAATATTATAGTTTCTGCTGGAGCAGAGTTCATATAGATAATTCAAAGTATTTTTGATTCATTATTTATAATTATGAAACCAATTCATACTCCAATAAATTTGAGTCTTTCTTAATTATATCAATCAGAAATCAAATAGCAATAGCAGCCAGACAGAATTTTGAAAGATTTAAATGGTTCTGCTTTCAAATTTAAGTTTGACTCAAATTTTAGTGATAGAAAACTACGATAATAGCAATAACAACAACAATAACAATAATAATAATATTAAACTAGTTTGGATTGTGGATTAAGGAAATCATCTATATTCGAGGATTACAAGTTTGAAATGGAGAATGGTAATAATTGTAGGAATAACAATTAAATTTATAAATTTAATCACTTAAATTCTAGTTCTGATTTTAATTATTAAAAACCAAGTTTATAAAATGGTTTAGGATAATACCAATCTAATTAAGCTTTGATTGGGAGCAAAATATTATCTCCTCTTTAAAAGATGAATAACTTTATTTAAGAGGATCTTGATAGCTTAAGATTTAGTTAACAATTCTAGAAACTGCATTTCAATGATAATAATGTAGATGACTATAAAATATCAATCTATTATTACAAACCTTAGATTGGGATCACATATTCGATGAAAGATAGCGTATTGTTAGTGACAATAGATTAGAGTTAAATAACAAAAATTAGATAATATTTGAATGAGTACCAGATTGATACTTTAATAATTTTTTACTCCATAAACTTTCCTCAGTAATTGCTAATGTCTATTAAACAAATTATTTAAGGAGTTGTTAAATTTTGTAATTTCATGCAGTGGGAAGAATATAACATTTAGGATAAGTTGGCATAAGTTGGGTTTATGCATCCAGAGATTTACAATGAAACATTAATTGATAAGTAAATATATATAAACTTGTGTTCTGCCTTACCAATCTTAACTCGATTCAATTTAGACACAATAATTAATTAACTGTAGGAAAGTGAGAAAGGATGTAAACTTAAGTTTAATGATTCATTATAAAATCAATTAGGAATATTAAAATAGGAGAATAAGTAATTGAGCATATAATAATTATTCGAAAAACACTTTCAAACGTTTTATGCTAAGAAAATATTTTTGGATTATCTAAAGAATCCAGTATCATCTTATTAAATAATAAATAAAAGATTATAGAATCTATACATATTTCAGCAATTATCTCTCTAGCCTTCAAATTAAAAATTCATAAAGATGCCAGGTAAAATTGGATCTTTTACTTAAAGTATTTTAATATTGTTTATTTAGTCCTGAAGGTTCTGTCAACTTATTAAGAGAAGAGCGAACCATATTCTAAGTTATTTACGCAACTGCAGTATCTGATTGAGTTTGTAACAGTAGTGAAATAGCTTGTAGTAATAGATCGAAGGGCCTAATAATAGACATGTTAATTGTTAAAGGATTTAAGCAATGTGAATTTAGAAAGTATATGTCAATTGTCTGATATCATTGAAACTTCTTTGCTGTTCAATTAATCAAATGTACAAATAAAAGAGCAAAAATACCCTTAACTCGAATAGTTATTATCTTTGTAGATTAATTTAAAAACAAGGGTTTAGCTAATAAAAAATAAGCATTAATCTGAATTAGCATTGGTTGGTATTAAACCTCAATCAATAGAGGTGAAATATGTGAATAATTCATATAAGCTTGTTGTTTAATCAAATTTGAACTTAGAGGATAAAGTATAAACTTTGGGATGGGAAATGGCCAGTGAAAGAGACGCTGAAAACTTTGTGGTGTTTAAGACTTCATACACTCTTAGTTTGGATGATTAATTCGGTGATTTAGAGGATCAAATTATATCTATGTAAGAAAAGATCTTGATAGAGCTTGTGAAATAAATTTAATCATATTCTGATTAACTCTAATAAATAGAATAATTAGTGGGAGAAATTGATTATTACATAGGATTAAGCATTGCAATTACATAAATGAGACTTTGCATTCCAAAATTAAATAACAACAATCAAATGAAAATTCAAGGAGGGAGACATTTATTGGTTGAGTAGACAAAGAAGTAAAATGTTGAATTTTAACCAAATGACTTTGTTTTGAATGACAAAAGAATATTCTTGATTGTTGGTCCAAACTTCTCTGGTAAATCAGTATTTATTAGATAAATTGGTATTATAATCTATTTGGTTCATTGTGGATTACCAGTTCCTGCTTTGAATGTAGATACATATCTATTAGAAGAGATTCATGCATTATTTCCATGTGAGGGAAAGTAATAATCGAATTTAAGTGTAACCAATCTGGAATTGATGCAATTAAGTTCTGCCTTAAAAGTTTCAAGTAGATCATTGGTATTGATGGATGAAATTGGCAAAAGTAAATTTTAATCTATTTTAAAGACTTTAAGTATTAAGTTGGATCTAACCTTCACAAATCAGCCTTAGAATACTTTATGTAGATGACTCCAACACCGCCTATTGTTTTGTCAGCTACTCATTATTAAAATCATGAGGAATTGCTCTTGTAAAAGTGTTTGCAATAAGGAGAAATGGAAGTTGCATTTGAATCGAATAAAAATCTTATTTTTGTTTATAGAATTGACTTCCATTCTAAAAGAGTTTAAAAAGTATCCTTCGGATTGGAAGTAGCATTATTGGTCCATTAAAATGAGGAACTTTATTAGAGAGGATTATAATTATATGAATTATTGACTAAATATAAGTATCTATAAAATAGTTGAACAATTTTTATTTAAAAATCCCTCATTGATTCCCTTTACACTTTTCATTTTGTGCATTGATTATGTAAAAGGATAAATTATAATTTCTTTAATTATCCATTTAAACGAGTATTTTAATCAATTTCCTTTCTTACTTTTCAATAGTTATTTGGTCTTAATTAGCATTAAAAAATGAATTTATTTTTTATTAATGGACACAAGAAAATATAAATAATTATCAAGCAAAACAGAATACGTTCCAAGCAATTATAATGATCAAATTCTTGAAGATAAAGACACAATCCTTTAATATGATAAAATAAAAAACGATTATAAATATTTAGATGCCACCATCTTTAATCTTTGTGAAAAGATTGCGATTGGAAATAAACTTTAAGAATTATATTTCACAAATCAATAGCAATCATTAAATAAATCATCCCTGCCTAAATTTATGAAGTTTTATGTGCATAACACAGGTTTATTATTACCATTAATTACTAGCTCTTGTTCCGATTTTTTGTTTTTCTATTGTATTCATGAAGTGGAGAAAGTCTCTCACATTACATAAAACAGTGTTATTATTATGTGGAATGTCCTTAACTAATGAATTTTTCAAATACTAAAATTGTATTTAGATGGACGAAAGTCTGGCCAAAGCCTATAAAGAACACACACAAGCTTATGATGATCTCTTTGGAAACCTTATCTAAACATTAACATTCAAAGATGTATTGAGACTCCTTTTTAACATCGATTTAAAAAAAGAAAAATTACAAAGTGAATCACATTATGATAATCTCCTAGTTGAAGATTTTGCAATGAATTATTATTGAAAATTCAGAAGTTCATTAGATTATTAATTTATGCAATTTCTTGCTAAATAAAATGTATTACATGCATCATATACTAAATTAAATTGAAAAATAATTGCCAATCAATTATGTTAACTTCAGGTTATTTTGAACATGATTGAATTCTAATTAAATGATTCAACTCATAGGTTCCAAGAAATTTAACATTCAATTAAGTCATAAATCACCTATTCTGACATTCAAAATGGTTGAACCCTTTTTGTATCCTTTCTTTTGAACCACTGAATCAAGTAGAAGCAGCCATTCTATTTCTGTTATTTTGAATAATTTCACTTTTTCTGTTTTTTACATCTTCAATTTATTATATAAAATTCAAATTATTTTAAATTAAATTTTCCTCTAGACATTTTTCAATTTTTCCTTAAGGATACTTTATATATCATTTTAAATGGAGTTCAAAATTGTTAATTTATTAAAAAGTATTTTTTTTACTATTTAGTAGAAACTCTTAGCAAATTATTTGAATTAATTTCTTTATTGCATGATGAAAGAGAAAGTTCATATACCTATTATATACAATTTAAGTCGAAATTTTTATGACTTAAAATTAAGAGGAAATCCTCATTAGAAAATTCAGAACACTGATCTGGAAAACATTCAACAAAAAGCAATTTATTATACTTTGAAAAAATAGATAAGGAATAATCAAAATTTAATTCATAGCAGTTTTTTTTATTGCTTTTAGAAAATCAAATTAGAAATCTTAGTTATAAAGATTATTCTTTACTTCTTCAATTATAAATTTTGAATTCTTAGAATTTTTTAGAATTTTGATAAAGTATATATTATTGATAACATATAATTGTTGAAACGCATCATTATGGGAATTAAATGTTCTTAAACCTAAAATTCCATGGTATTATTATAAAGTCTGCTCTCTATTGATGAAGTAGAATAACAAAAGCATTAAGCTTATTAAACTTTAAAATATAGGTTTCCTGAAAAGTAGATTTTAGAAAGCAATAAAACTAAATAACAATTGTAGAATGAAGAAGAACACCCTCAATAACCTGAAGATCCAGGTAGTCCGATGTAGGCAATATCTGAAAAATCTTCACAAGTCTGCGCATAATCATAATTTAATAATTCATGTCCAACAACAATGAGAATAAATGCACATCAGACTAATGATTGTTCTTTTTAACACGATCAGAGATTAAGTATTAAAAAAATAAGCTATTCTCCTCCAATATTAAATAATTAATCTAAATAAAAATAAAAATACAAAGGGATAATAAAAAAAAGTAGATTTAATAGTGATTCCTAATCACCTAATTCATCTCAAACTATAAAATCAGTTAGATTTTTAATAACAGAATAAGTCAGAGTTTAACAAAATTTCAAAAGAACTAGAAGTTTATAGAGACGGTAGTCTAACAAACGATAAAATAAATCGATTATTTATACTAATTGTAATTATCCATTATATTACAAAATCGAATTGTGACAACTTTGAATATAAATTATTTTATCAAAAATTAATACTTATGCTTGATCAGACTCTTAAGTACTTTCCTTGATTGATTAATATTAGTCTTACTTTTAAAGATGAACATAATGGAGGCTTAGTTAGATTATATCATTTTAAAACAATTCCACATGCTATAGTATCAAATAAATTTGACCACATAAAATAATACTTCCATATGCACTCTCCTGTCTTAGTCTCTGAAAGAGAAGAGGATTATGAATTTACTTGCAATAATGATGATGAAGAAATCACTGGGAGAACCAGATCAAAGACTTAAGGGACTAAAAACACTTTGAAGCCAAATAAACATCACGATTTGACTGAACAACTTGATTTAGCTATAAAACCAAAAGGATTACTAAAAAACCGCAATAACAAGGAGACGTAGAGTCAAAAAAAGGTCTCCTTCTCCATTCCATCTCATTGCACTTTGGAATACAGATAAATAGTTTAAACAGCTATTAATAAATATTAAGTGAAGTAGAAGTAATGAATCTTAATATTGAATATCATTTTAATTTATATTCTATAAACTATTATTAAATTCTAAATATATACTCAATACACTATTAATGATGTCAATAGGAAATGAAGATTAATAATTTCCTATCAAAAAAAGTTAATTATTAATAGTCAAATGAATCAACATCCTCAAGGCTAATTTTAGTTTATCAAGACCTACTTTCTAAAGAGTACTATTGCCAGATAAATAATGCCAGACAGCTCAGATGACATTTCCCCAGAGTAATATTGAAATTTACATTTAGATTATTGGATGAGCATTTCTAGAACAATACATCACACAGAAGAATCAAATCTGATTTATTGCAACAAAAAGAAGCCTAAAAGCTTCGTGAAATCTAATAGTAGTATTAGTAGCAAACAGACACTTCAACATATGCCCAAAGCTATATGTCATAGGGAATTTTGAAAAAATCACAAAGAAGTAGAAGCAGTAAAAGTTAGAAAAGAAAGTCGTCTCATAATAAAAAAGTGCATTTTATATGAATAAATTGAGATTTTAATAAACTTTTACTACGAATTTGCAGTTATAAATTTCTCTAATTTATTTATAATATCATATTTTAAAGGCCTATTTTTATCCATATCTAAATTATTCTATAAGCTACTGTTCCAAAAATAATATGTATAATAGGATAACATATAAAATTCATTTCAAAGTTATATATTTATAGTTTATATTGATTTTTTTGTTTTTCTAGTCGTTTTTTATTCAAAAAATTAATTAATACACTGAAAGCTAATTGTCTCCAGCAAGATTTTTGAATATCTGGTAATAATTAATCAATAAAGACATACTTTATTGATGAATATTTTAAAAGATTTAATTATTCAGCAATAACTAATAATTAAAACATGAAATCAGTATAAAACTTTAAAATTGTCTCAAACATGAAAGCATACTTTTCAGATGATATTCAATGCCTTTAAAAGAGAGTTGATGCTCCTGATACTAGTTAAGATAGTATAAGTAGTGATCAAATGTTATTGCCGGATTTAAAATCAATAATCTTAAACCAAAGTGACTTAATTAGGGAAGATTATAATGGGCTTCGTCTTACTGAATCACATTCAAGAAGCCGCACAACTAATTCTTCAAGTAATTATTTATCTATAAAAATCTAGGTAACCTTTTTATATTTGAAGAGCAATTTGCCAGTATTGATTCAATATCTTCAGACTTAATATCAGATGAATTTTGAGATTTTCCATCTTTATTCTTCAATAAAATTGAACTGTATTTTATATTCATAATTTATCCGATTGATATTTAATTAAAATCATATACATTATACAAAGTCACACTTTTATTCCTCTACTCAATCTGCCAAAGTGATTCCATACTTTGATTTAAAATGATCGTAAACTGGAAAATAAAAGATAGAAAATAAGCTGCATTGAAATACTCTTGTGCCCAAACCTTTAAGAAATGCTTTTTTTCCTTCTTAGTACCAAGCATCTTGCACCAACTATTTGACAGACAATTATTGCTAACTACTATCGACAAGTTAGTATCTAGTAATGATAAAATCAACAGGATTGACTATGGCTGCAGCCAAGGCAGTTGAAATCATTGTTGCAATAACCGATTGATGAATTGCCAAAGGCTGATTGTGTACTTTTTGGTCAGCCCTTTATCTCAAGATTTCATATCTCAACAATTCATAGAACCACATCTGGAATGTTGTGTAGACAACTACTGAGGCCATGTATAAGTAAGATGCTTAGAATAAACGAACCCAACCTTCTTTTCTAGAAATTTCCATCAATCCTGAAAATATTCCTTTATAATTATATTCAGGAACATTCATCTACATTCTGGTTCTCAGGGTATCAAAGGGAATATAGGCTGTATAGTTATATATTTATACTTACGACAGACACAGCTTCGGCCAAGGGGGAAGTAATGAGAGGAATCAATAAGTTTAACTTACTCTTCTCGCCATCCTTCTCTAAGCCTTTTGTTAATTTAATTGCATAATAATTCATATACTCATAAGCCAAAAAATATGAACCATAAGGAAGAAATGAACCTAATGATAAGTAAAACTTCATACCCATCACTGTAGTAGAAAATCCTTTGAATAAATATTTAAATCCTTCATTCTTTACAATAAGATCATATCCTTGCTTCATTCCCAAGAACTCAGATTTATGTGCTTTGATTCTTGTTCCGATTGTGTCAAAAGGAAACATAATCATATCTCCAACCATAGATGCAAGACCTGAATAAAATGCTATTAACAAGGGATTGAATTCTTATTGCTTTTCTGTCATATATATAAAATTTAATTATTGGTAATTTTTATAATTGAAAATAAATTAAATATTCTAAAGGAATCTCCTCTATAACAAGTAACACACAACTATTAGAATTAGACTCTCGGCAATTAAGGTAGTACTCTTCAAACACCGATACAAGACAATAATTTGATCCAAACTTTTAATCATAAATATGTATTTATTTTATTCATATTATCAACTCAAATCTTTATAAATGAAAAATGTTCATTTAAATTATCATAATTATTTCTAATTTTGTATTAATATAATAAATGAGGTTAATATACTAAAGGAGATACAGATTTTTATACTTTTCATCTTCTGATGTGTTCTCATTAAAACAGTTCATTTTAATGTAATTAAATAATAAGGTTTTACAATACAGCTAATAAAATTTATATTGAATATTAAAAAAATTTTATTTATTTTTATACACACTAACCTACTTAAGTAAGGTGATTAATAAAGTACAAATTTATCTAAATTGATAGTTCTATAAATCTACTGTCTTGCTTTCTTATATGTCTGGTAATAATTATGACACCTGTACTATAAGATATTGCTTCTATAAAATTCAAGTTTTTATAGAACTTTCAAAAATTTGGTTTAATTACTAATACTATCGATTTAGTCAACTATAAGTAAATAATCATTGAAATGAGTACCTTGATTATATTATCTATCAATCTTTCTTTTTAAAGTTATGCTTTTTATAGTTTTTATAGAATATAAATTCTTATGACAATAAATTAATCATAATCCTATTCATAAATAAATAATAAAAATTATTAATTCTATATCTGAAAATATTGTTAGATAAAAGTATTTTATGTAAGCATAAATGTACAACATATAAATTACAAGGAGACTAATTCAAAAATTGAAAGTAAAGATTCATTTAAGATCCTAATAATAGAGTATAATAGAATAACTAGTATTATTGGTTATTAATAGGATAGTTTCTTTATGGAAAACACTTTCTTATTTAACTATAAAATTCGCTAATTGATTGTTCTTTATTAAAAAATATCAAAAAATTATTATTTTAATTATTAAATGCTTCCAATAAAACAACCGCATCAAAAAAGGGTAAGTAAGATGAACCAATTCAGCAAATAAGCAGGGCCATTTGTAATATTTTTCACTGTCTTAATGCCTACTAATTGTGTGATTTTAGAATAATTTGTAAAATGAAGAATAAAATTAGTACTTTGATTTAAAACTAGACAGTGTTTCTTAAAACATACAAAATCTTTTGATCTATTTGGTATATGTAATGGCGATGTGGTCATACTATCAAGCAATAACAATAAAAAATATTACTGCTTAGAGAACGCCATTAGCACCTGATAATAGAAGAATTGATCCTATCTATAAAAATAATGCAGCTTGTACAGTATGCAACAAATGGAAACCAATCAGAGCTCATCATTGCTCTATGTGCTAATAATGCATATTAAAAATGGATCATCACTGCCCTTGGATTAATAATTGTGTGGGACTTAGAAATCACAGGGCATTTTATTTATTTACAATGTATATGACAGTACATGTTACTTAATTATGTTTAGATTGGGGCAATTCAATATAGCTGGGCATCTTATGTGTATTTTAAGGATCTCTATAGAAATGATCAAGGTTTTTTTTCACAACAAACCACTTTTTTCTACTTGTATTGGACCTTTACAAGTTTGGTATTGTATCCCACTTGTGCTATGTTATTCTTTTTGTTTTGCTATCATTCTATTTTAGTTTTCACAAACTAAACAACTATAGAGTAAATGAGGAATGGATCAAATGGTTGTATGTGTTGTTCATCTTCAGTAACAAAAAATTCTAATCTATATAATCGTGGATGGATAGCCAATGCAGCATGGTTTTTTAATTACTCATATTTATGGTTCCTTCCTTTTTAAAATGTCTATGAAACTGATGGTATATATAATTCAATCAATTTATTTAAGGTACTTCTTATCCTATTGCACCACTATGTACATTTGCTGACATAGAAACTTATGATCCATCTATTGGTAATGGACTTCCCCCTAATACATAGATTGATTTAGAATAAATTGATCCGAAATTTTTAGATTATATTTAAACAGCAAAGGAAAAATATAAAGGGAAAAAAGTACAATTAAATGGCAAGGAAATAGTTCTTGCCTGAAAAGCTCATGTAAATGATTTTATATCATATAATAAATGAATCAAGTATTTTTAATTTGGCATTGTAACTAAAAAATAAGATTTTAATCAATTAAGAATATGTTTCATTTTTGATTAATCTGTGAGATATAATAGAATTAAAAAATGATTGGAGGTCGAGTTAAAAATATAATATAATTCTTATTAAATTTAACTTAAATATTCATTTCAAGTATGATTATGATTATTCAAGATTCATCACCTATAAATTGATATTTTGTGAACTATCTTAATTTTCTTGGTTTGGAGGAGATGATGGTAGTAGCTTTCGTATATTTTTACTGACTAATAAATAGATTCTTTCATCAAATTCTTAATCTAAAGTAATCTCTTTTTAATGCAAGATATCAGTCTCCGAACTCAGCTATTATTATTGATTTCTTATATATTAATTGTCTGATGGAAGCTTATTATAACTAATTAAATTACAATTTGATTCGTAGATTGTATGTTCTTCTCAGGTATACATAATTTATCAAATAGATGTTCAAGCTTATATTTTGTTTCTAAATATTTTTTAATTTGCTATAACCCTAAATGTTCTTATAATATTAATTATAATCTAAAAGTTTAATAAAAATCTTGATTACTTAGCTACTTCATTTTATAAATTCAAATAATTCATCTTTTCAACTGCCATTCGATTCAATCTATTCAAGATTTCTTCTGATTTAGAAGGATCATACTCTCTCCCTTTAAAGTTGACACTCTTTATTTTACTTAACCAATTCTTATTTATTTAAAAATCTGTGAAATCATGATAGTACATACTAATTATCTCTCTCTAAGCTTTTTACAAACAAATATTCTCATTATATTTAGAAACTAAAAATGAAATTGAAAGAATCCATTATATAATTGAGCCAGTATCTGCAAGTATCTCAGATATTTTTGGATATTCAACATTGTTTACTAGTTTTATTTAATCTAAAGTAAAAAATAAAAGGGAAATTAATTCTTCCCCATAAACCTTTCTTGAATATGGCCAATCATAAGTTGTCTATATAATCTATACATCAGAGAGATAGGAATACTTGGTGTTTTTTGGTAAGAAAAATCCATCATCTAATTCCAATTCACCTGCTTATAAAGTAAATTAATTTTAAAAAAGCGAACCTGGCATCATGTCAAAAATAAAAAATTTCGGAACTTTTTTGAATTGCTTAGTTTTTGGATTGAACTATTCAATGTATAATTAAACTTGAAAATAGTTCTCTTGATCATAAAATTGATTGATAGTTTCTTCATCAGCACACTAGTGTCCTTGTATTAATTGATCTTATCTACAATACCCAAGTAATAATTAATATTCTCTTGAACTTATTTGAGATTAGGCAGGTTGTGATTTTATAATTTCAATATCATCAATAAAAAACTTATTGATAATTTTACCACTTTCTGACTATTCTTATTCGAAACGAAGAGTTAAGTTTGATAACTATAAATAATTATTGTATTATTACTTCATCCCAATTATTTGGTACTAATTAGAAAATTGGATTAAAGATCAATTGTTTGGGATTAAAAGGATCAATCTAATTATTCAGCTTTTAATAATAAGAAATCTCAATAAATACTCCACTTTATACAATAGTTTAGTTAGCATCAATCTATTAATATAGAGAAGTAATTTTAGGAAGTTTATTATTTGTTTGCCAATCAATGAATTGGAATAGAAAATATCCTAAGCTGACTCCATATAAAGCGAGAGTTATTAATCCTCCTAAAGCACTTTTTTATGTAGGGTTAATTGGGGGAATTTACAGTTTTTACTCAACTCCAAACTGATCAATTGATTACAAAAAGTATAACATATTTTATTAAATATATAATAAATCTTACCATTTTTTTATTTAGATTTATTATGTTTTATATGAAAGATTTTGTTATCTTCGCAATTTGAACGATTATTTTCATCATAAAGATTATTCATCTAATCCTGGTGTTTAAAAAAGTGAGAAAAATTTGAAAATATAAACTGATTATTGTTCTTAATTTTAATAGCTGAAAATAAAAAATTTTTACCCTTAAATGTGTTTAACTATCCCTAACCATAATCACATTAATCATATTTTAGGATTAAATTTTATAGAATTTGCAATTAAAATTATTCTGATTAAATAATATTAATTGTAGTGATAAAAAAGATATTTTTAAAGAAACACACTGCAAATAACAGAAGTGCTGGTTTTCAATCTTTAATAATATATAAATAAATAAAAAAGAAAGGATTTTTGATTCATCAAATTTGATGATATATTTTGTATTATTAATTTCATATTAAGTTTTTTGGTAATTATTTTTGGTTAATTCATTTAACATCTACAGATTTTTCAAGGTTACTTACTTTCACATACGTATTTAAATTTTAAAATGACTCCTTTACTTGCAAGTTACTATTTAACTATTTAAATCCACCATTTTCATATTTCTTGATGTCTAAAAGCCCCATTCTTGATTCTAATTCTTATTCTAAAATTATAAGCTTATTAGGCCTTGAATCATTCTCAGCATCTAGATTCAATTATGAAATACCTTCGGATTACTATTCATTTTAAGCTTGCTTTGATTTAAAAAAGAAATACAATTTAATTTATCGCCTATTATGAAACCTTTTCAGGTATACCTAATTGATCAAAAAGTTGATCTAATTGATATTTTGTTTCTAAATATTTGTTAATTTGCTATAACCCTAAATGTTCTTATACTATTAATTATAATCTACAAGTTTTAATATAATATTAATTACTTAGCTACTTCATTTTATAAATTCAAATAATTCATCTTTTCTACTGCAATTTGGTTTAATCTATTCAAGATTTCTTCTGATTTTTAAGTATCATATTCTCTTCCTTTAAAGTTAACACTTATTATTTTGCCTAACCAATTCTTTTTTATTGAAAAATCAGTAAAATCATTAAAATACATACTAATTACATTCCTCTAAGTTGATTCCAAACTTAAGGTTTCATTATAATTTGAGACTATAAAAGAGATTGAAAGAATCCAAGTTACTATTGAACCGGTGTCTGCTAATATTTCTGATATTTTAGGATATTCAACATTGTTTACTATTTTTATTTAATCTAAATTAAAAAATAAAATTGAAATTAATTCTTCTCCATACATATTTTTGGAATATTCTTAATCATATTGAGCACTAACAATCTATAAATCAGAGAGAAATGTGTATTCATTTGAATTAGGAAATAAGAATCCATCATCCATGTTTAATTCGCCTACTTTGAGGATAAATTGAGTGAAATAAAGCTAATCTTTTATCATATCGAATATAAAATATTTTGGTATAAGTTTTAATGATTTTGTTTTGGGATCAAATTGCTATATGTAAATAAAGACTTAAAAGAAATTAGTTTGGCTAAAGAATTGATCAATTGTATCTTGATTAGCACAGAATTGTCCTTCTTAAAGTAATTTAATATTGCAGTAACCCAAAGATAATTGATAGTTAGTCTATTCACGTATCAATGAATTAACAGGAGAGCTGGATGGCTCAATGTCTTGAATAAGAAATTTGTTGAGAATTTTTCCATTTTCTAATTATTCCTAATCAAACTTAAGAGGTATGCTTTAGATCTATTTAATAATAAATTAAGTATACATTCTATCTGTCATAAGGAATGATTCTTAAATGAGGTGAAAATATAAGATTTTGAGGATTAAAGGGATCTATTGGATTATTTAAGGATGGCATATAACTTATTTCTGCAAATACTCCTTGAAGCTTTAATTTTTAAGCATAATTAATTTATGATTGGATAAATGTGACTTTAGGGAGTTTATTATTAGATTGCCAATCTAAAATTTGAAAAAGAAAATATCCCAAACTGGCACCATATAAAATTAACGTTACTAATCCACCTAGAGCACTTTTTTATGTGGGTTTTATCGGAGGAATTTGTAACTTCTACTAGACTCCAAACTAATCGATCTATTGTAAAAAGTTTAACATTATTATTTAAATAAATCATAATATAAGTTCAAAAATTCTTATTATAACTAAATATATTTAACTCCGTTACTAAGATATATTATTTTTGTAATTAAACAAATTTTATTTCCACATGAACAATAAAGTCGCTTCATATAATAATATTATAATGCATCTTATAACTGTTGGGAATTTCTAAATTCTGATTAATTTTCTGGTTCTATTTGATCTGGAATAAGAAATTTTTGTTCTACAAAGTTGAACAAATGCTAATTCCATTCCATAATGAATCTAACATTACTTATTTTTAAAAGTATAGAATATAACTTTAGATAAATTGTTTTATATTGATTTCTTGTATATATCGATCATAATCATGCTAGTGGTTTAGCTGATTAAACCAATAATTGCTTTAATTGGTTGACATAGGTACTGTTTAGCAATGCAACATCCACTATGACTGCACTGACTAGATATGGATCAATATTAGCAGCTGGTCTTCTGTCTTCCAAATAACTATTAGAATAACGATATTGAATACCCTGCTCCTAATTCTTTAGTTATGACTGGAACTCTGATGGATCCACCTCTAGAACCGTCTCCCCAAGAGAATTAATCATAAGAACTGGTTTCATGATGACCTGTTAATCTTTTTTCATTATTTGCTCCATAGAGTTTTAAAACTTCTTTGTGAGTATTACTTAATAAAGGAATCAATTATTCGACGATATACTTATAACCCCCTTCTCCTCTTGTTTTGACATCAGAATAGTTTGTATGGGCTCCAGAACCATTCCAATCTCCCAAGATGGGTTTTGGGTCATAATTAATATCAATACCGAATTCTTCACCTAATCTCTCCAGAATATATCTAGCCAGCCACAGGTGATCTCCAATTTCGATTCCTTCAGCGATACCAATTTAGAATTCCCATTAAGATGGAGCAACCTCTGCATTGATACCTGCAATTTTGATCCCGGCATTCAAACAAGCTCTGAGATGTGCCTCGGCTAAAGCACGTCCAAAGTTGTTTCTTTCTCCAATTGAACAGTAATATCGTCCTTATGGATATGGGAATCCTCCTGTGGGCCATCCAAGAGGCCAGATATGAGTTGTTCCAGTTCGTTTTAATAAGAAATATTCTTATTCGATTCCGAACCAGGGCTTGAAATCCTTTGCTTTTTCCATGATCTCATTAGCAATCCATCTAACCATAAATAATAAGAATTACCTGAAGTTATATCTGGCTGGAGTCTTTTTGTCTGGCAAGTATGTTTCACACAACACCAAAATGTGAGGATCGCCTCGGAAGGGATCTTTCACATATACTACAGGTTTCAAATAGATTTCGGACCATTTAGTGTTGGCTTATTCTGTCGATGAGCCATCATAGGTCCACCATTCAAGGTCTGAAATTTAAGTTATTGGTGTTAGATATACCTTGATAATTATTATAAAAAAAGTACTTTTGTTTTTGATCTCATTCTCTCTCCAGTTCCATCAATCCATATATATTCGGCCAAGACATGAGTAACATTCTGATTTAGTTTATAATAGTTAAAATCACGAAGATGTTCAACAGTCTCAGTCATACAGGATTTAAAATTTAATCAAATATTCAATTGATAAACGCGTATGGATTTTGGAATTTAACTGGTTTTATAATTGGTCATATAATAATAATCACTTTTAATTGATATCTAATATTGCTTATTATATGTAATTTTAAAAACAACATTACGTTTTTAATTTTAATAAAAAATTAAAGGAACCAAATCAGTAATTAAGACCTTTTAAAAATAGAATTCCTAATATTAAACTTTCTAAAATATACTAATTAAAATAGTTCCTAGTTTTAAAGATTGAATATTTGAAAATCTTTATCGAATAAGTTTATTTATTATTTCAAAGAAATAATGGGAAATTTATATATTTAAATGTGTTCCAAATTATTCTATGTTTTTTTCATTTACTTTTTTGGTTCTATTAGTTCTACATAAGGCAATATTGAAGAACTCAATATAATTAATATCATATTATTAAATTAAGAATTGCAACTTCATCTATGTAGCTAAAACTGATGGATAATAATTGAATAGATTATTTCTCACATACAATTTTCAATTGATTACCAAAAGTAACTATTCAGATGAAGTTTAATACCATGAAATTAAATTTATGATTTAATTTAATACTTAATAAATTTCCTAAGTTATTTTTTTTCATCTATACTTCACATAGATTTAGTACTTATTGAATTGTGGTAATTTTGGTATAGGAATTTGTAAATTTCGTGAGAAGATAGTTTATTTTATTGAAATGTTTTAATGTATTATTTTTAATATTATTATTATAACGGATTGATAACAATAATATGAAAAGTGTTCTCAAGTAAGTCGCTAAATCTATTAATCAGCTAATAAAAATAACCTGTACCACTGAACGTAGCCAACAGTATAAATAAAAATGCAAAAAACGATTTTATAGTAAAAGATTGTGACATACCAAAAATTAATAAGATTCCAACATCAAAGAGGATTCAGACTAAACCAAAAGAAAATGCTGTAAGTGAATACAATGTAATCACAAGATGCGTGACTGAACAAAGAAGAAGCTCTGGTATACTTATTTTTTTATTAGTCACGGAAAATAGTATTAGTGAATTTAAAGAATAAAACAAGATTCCTACCTATTGTCTGAAATGGTTGAACTATAAATATCAAAAGAAAGTAAAAACATTATTTACATAGGAATTTCTTCAATTGGAGTAGCAATTTTTAAAAATTCTATAAATAAAGCCTGAGAAAGATATTGTTCATCAAATAGAACGAGATCTTTCAAGAACAATCAAGGCTGAGAACCACCATACAGAAATTAAAAATATTCTGACTGCTTATTCTGTTTACGATCCCAATATTGGATATGTATAGGGAATGAATTAAATAGTTTCAATTCTATTCAATCATGCAAAATAAGAGTGGATAGCCTTTTGGCTTTTTGTAAATTTAATAGAATAAATGGAAATTCGAGATATTTTTTAATTATCGCTTAATGCTATTAACAAATACTCAAAAATTTTGGATTTTCTTTTGAATAAATTTGTACCTAGAATTTATGATAATTTATCTTAAAAGTAAGTAAATACTGAATTATTCATATAATAATGGCTACTAAGCTTACTATTATAGTTTATTCCATTTGAATATACTCAAGTTTATTTGGATGGATTATTCAAATAAGGAATATCATATTTTTATACTATAGCATTAACAATCATTAAGGCATTTGATAAAGCAATACAAGAAGAGGAGTAAATCGAGATCTTAATTTTGTTAACTTCAAAACAATATGTAATGCGATTTACAAATATAATTAGAGTTAATTGAAATGGCCATCCATTTTTGTATTTTAATGGGACATCAATCCGGGTTAATTGAGAGTGCTATTAGATTGTTTTGATAGCGACACAAATTCTTTTCAAAAACCTAAATTCTAAACGCATTGCTCATAGCTTACAACAAACTTCTTCCAATTTATTAAAAATAGTTGAATTCTATCTGTTATATGACTATTCCATTTAATTTATATTTCTTATTTCTAAATCTAATATGGCTAAAGAGTTCCTGCAAAAAACTTGCAAATATAATGCTCATCCAAAATTGAATAAAAATAACAAAATTTAGAAAAAGATACTACAGATTTTTTTTAATTAAATACTATAGTATAAAGAGAATAAATTTCAACATTTTTGATTAGGCAAGTAGGTTTTGCTCAGTTAGTCATTAGGATACGAAAAAAGAATTTAAATTGTTTGAGTAGAGGCTAACTTGCAACCAATAAAGAAACATCTTCCAGTTCCTTTTAAATCAATAAAGATGAGAGTTGAAAATCAATGAATAATTAATTACTTAGGAAAATATAAAAAATCTGGGGTGCACTACTAGCTGTTTAATTTTTGTTATCATAACATATGAAAATTTATTTAAATGATTAAGAATGAAGGAATACAAACTCCAGTAATTCAAAAGTTTAAGATTAATCTATTTTGTGATAGTTGAATTTTATGAAAAATTCAGAAGATTAAACTCACAATAACTGAAGCCATTAATCCTTAATTAGGCGTTTTAAAATTGATTAGGAAAATATATTTAATATCATTAAATTAATTAGGAAATTCTTACATTTGCTTTTTATAATAAAAAAACAATCTATTTATAAAAGTTATATTGTTGTTGATCCAAGACTTAATAGACACTTACTAAATCTTAAGCTTATTGAGTTATGGACTGATTTCTTGGATTATCTATTATTAAATTTAAGATTTCAAGAGCAAACAAGCAATATTCTTTTTATTTCTACTGTTCAGCAGTATATTCTTTTTGTTTTAAAGCTACTTCTATTAAATATTTTATCTTTGTCAATTCATTTATTAGTCTTCTCTACTTTTAGTCTCTGGTTTCTATATATTAATTCATTGGTTCAGTGCAGCAAATAAATAGGTCTAAATATTTATCATCTTATGGCTATTTAGCTTGTTTATTATTTATGCAGAAGTTTAGATGATTATTTGCTTACTTAATTGAAATGAATTAATCACACATAGTACAATATATATACTACATCAAATCTAAGGCTTCTTAATCCTATCTTAAAATTCTTTAATCTCCATGATTAGGTTTATTATTAATTTAGAGGTATTAATTTTTTATTGGATATTTTTGACAGAGATATTAATAAAATTAATCATAGCCTAAATTGCCATACAAGTCCATAATATAACTTTTTTATGATTCATTGAGTATATTTTAATTTTAAACTTCTACTGGAAGAATTTAATCATTTTTATTTACATCATGATATTCAAATTATGATGTATTTAGTATTTATTGCTATTATTATTAATATTATTGATCTTAATATTATTGTTGTTAGTATTATTATTACTAGTATTGTTATTGTTATTGTTATGGTTATTATTATTGCTATATTTATTGTTATTGTTGTTGTTATTATTATTGTTATTACTATTACTATTGTTGTTATTATTATTATACATTATGCTGTATTGATTTATCTCTGCTCAAATTAATATTCGATAAATCAAATATTTTCTCTTTTTAATGGATCTAACTCGGCTATTATTAATGAAAATTTTAAGGAAGACTTTATTAAGAATTTTACCTCCTGCTTGGCGGTGTTTATTATTAGTGAAATATTTAATATTCTATATCGTTATTAAGAATTGGTTATTTTTCAATAGATATTTCTTTAATATGCTAGCCTTAATATGGCTCTGTTATCCTTGATTTATTAATAGCTTATTATTCAAAAATAGGCCTATGCTTATGTACTGGAATAGCCCCTAATTAATTTAAAGAAGATTTTTAATTTTAAACTTAGTAATTCATTGATAGCTCATTTTCTGGTTAAGCGCTTACATTCATTGGATAATATGAATTTCTTTAATCCACAATATACTCTTCATTAGTAATAAGAATTGGACTTTTATTTTAATACCCTCCTTATGTATTCATTTAGTATCTAGCAGATTATATCTTGTCGTATTAAGGTGTAGATACATTGTATTTACGTTGCTAATCTGAGTGATTATTGTATGGAAACTCTATAATGCCATAGTTTTATCTTAATTAATTGAAATACTGCACTTATGGTGTGTTTTATGAATGATTAGTTGATAGCAATGGTGTGTGTTATTTCTATTGTTACCCACTGTTGTAATTAGAACTGAATCTTTGATGACTTGTAGGCGATAAATAATTCATTTAGATTCTTGAATTGACTGGGATTGGATCATGATTATCATATTTCTGTTGTTTATAGCTATCCAAGGTTTGCAAATCCTCTAGAAGTTACTACTCCTGTTAAACTATTTAATCATAATAGTTTTCAGATATATTTTATTTATGCCCATAAAATGATTGCTATTTATTAGATTGTTGTCTTTGTGCAATTGCTGATAACATTTAAATATTTTGTTCTCTTTAAGATTTTAATTCTTGCAGCAACTATTAGTAATCTTAGCTAGATGAAAACTGAAGTTAATTTATATTGTTAGTTAATTCATTGTAAATGTTGTCGATTTTTGAAACAATTTATTGATACTTGACATGATTGTCAGTTCTTTGAGAGTACATTTCCTGTTCTAATTCGGAATATTGCATCATTAATTAATTGTAATTATTGCTAATTTATTGTTATGGTGAAGCTTGGACATGTTGTCTTGGTGTGGAAAATGTCTGATTATAAATTGGTTACATGTATTGATAATTGTGAATTTAAGGAGTGTTAATAAAATAAATTTATTTCAGCAATAAAATATTGAAATATATGTATATTTACATGTAATAATACTTCACATAAACTCAACTAAGGATTTAGATAAATAAATTAATTAAGTTTCAATTTTTGCTGCAACGGTTAGAAGTATGATATGACACAATTCATCGGCTGATAGTTAGAGTTAAATTTACTCAATATGGGATTTTGATATCACATTTGGAGTCCAAATAAGTATTTTAATGAATTATTTCAATTATTGTGGAAGTAGCTTCTCCATCTTTCATAATAAAAATATGTTATTTATGAATACCTATGCCCAATAATCAATATCTTCATGCTAATATCTGAATTGTCCTTCCCCATAATAACGTATTGCTTTTCTAAAGGCAGTGGTAGCCACTTCCTCATTTCCAAATGAATTTCTTGTCATATGCTTGACTTCTTATAATAAATTACTGATAGCATCTGCTCCTTCTAAAAAGGCTTCTTTTAAAACAGGATAGCTATTCAATTAAAACGAATATTCCTAATAATTTCAAACAATTTTACTGAAGATCTCAAAACACTTTTGCTTTCGCAATAAGTTAATTCAGAGTGTGAAAAATGCTTAGAGAACTTTTCATCAAAATGTAATTTAAGTTGTTAATCTGTTTCCTCAACATAAAAACTGTATGATTGAGAGGTTTTTTATCTAATTTGAATTTGCACATGAGCTTCTTCAGGTGGAAGTTCTTCCTCAAGAAGTGCAGATTGCTTAAGTTCTTAGAGTATGGATTCGTTTTGGATAAAATCAATCAAGGATTCATGTTAAGCATATTGGACACTGTTATTCACAGAGTTGTTACCAACAGTGACATCCATCTCTTTAACGATACCATTCCCCAAAGAAAAACTTCCCAAATTGTTGTAGAATATGAATATCATCAAGGCTTACACTAGTTCTTTTCTTCTCCACTTGCCTTTGAGTAGTTTATGCAATTCTTTGGAGAGTTGAGGATCCCATGGTTTAGTTATCAAGAGTTTACAGATAGGATCTAATTATTAAATATGAGCATCAACACAGTCATAGCCTACTTCTATCCAATTCCTATCTCCCTCGTTTAGATAGAATATCTGTGAGAGTAATAGGTATAATTATTCGCATCCAGATGCAGCTGCCCCCTAAAATATGGAGAATATGCATACCATTATGGCCAAATAATATTTTTCATCTTGCAATAGTTTAGTTTTAGTGTTGAACAAATTATCTAGGAGAAAAGTGTAAGATTTTAATAATTTAGGAAACCACAGTAAGGGAAATTCATGCAATCCAACTCTTCCATAATTAAAATTAAATATCTTTAGCAAATGATCTTATAAATCTTATGCTTTTAAAGCACCAATAACTGGCCAAGGCAATTGGAGGATCTTACCATCAATAAATTCATTGGTCACTTTCATAGAGGGGAATTGATTAAAAAACTTTGACACTTTGTGATGTTTAGGCTATTTTTTGTTGATAAATAATACAGAAATTTTATACTCGGCAGCTAAGTTCTCGTACAAACTTACAACTGAGGAATGAGGTGTTTGGTTGATCACAACAGCCAATTTAGCTTCTATTAAATTTCTAATTGATTAATCTTAGCAATCCTGTATTTTTTCAAATTGCTAAATGCATTGATCTAGCATTTACTCGTCTTCATCTTTATTGGTTAGATATTCAGGAAACGCTAGACGCACATCTTCATTTTCTTAATCCATTTATATATATAAATATATTCTTTTTTATTTTGTACAATAAACTCATTATTATTCATTTTCAATTAAGGCAGCAGCACCCATACCAGTAGCAATACACATAGAAATGACACCATACTTAGCCTTCTTTCTCTTCATTTCTGGTAATAAAGTGGCAACTTATCTGGCACCAGTACATCCTAAACTTTAAATTTTTATATACCTAATGGATGTCCCAAGGCAATAGCACCACCCTTTGGATTAACTCTGCTTGGTTCAATTCCAATCTTTTCAACTGAGTAAACAGATTAACTGGCAAAGGCTTCATTAATTTCATAGATGCAGATGTCATTTGGTTTCAAAGCATTTCTTTATAATAATTATGGGATAGCAGCAGCTGGTCCAATACCCATGATATTGGGTGGTACACCAGCAACAGTGTAATCAACAAATCTGGCTAAGATTGGTAATCCCAATTTCTTGGCAACAGATCTTCTAGCCAAAAGAACAGCAGCAGCACCATCAGTAACTTAAGAGGAGTTACCAGCTGTTGTTGATCCATCCTTTCCAAAGGCAGGCTTCAATTTACCAAGGCCTTCAAGAGTGGTTTCCTTTCTGATTCCATCGTCTTCTGTAACAATGACTTCTTTAGTTTTATCTCCATCTTTAATGAAGGTCTTGACTGGAATTATTTCATCCTTGTATAATCCTTCTTATTATGCTTTGTAAGCCTTTTATTAGGATTCATAAGCAAATTTATCTTATTACAATCTTGTGACTCCAAATTGGGCTGCAACATTCTCAGATGTTTATCCCATACCCAATAAGCAATCTCTTGCACATGGATGATCAAAGATAGCATCACTGAGTAATTCAGCGTTCATTTGACTTTACATATCATACATAGTCATTTGTTCAACTCCAGCTCCAATACCAATATCCAACATTCCAGATCTAATTTTGGCAGCAATGACAGCACATGCTTCAATTCCTGATGAACAGAATCTATTGATTGCTGTCAAACAAGTTGTATCTGGGAATCCAGATAAGAAGGCAGCCATCTTAGATACAATGGCACCACTTCCAGGTTGATTGACATTACCAACAACGATGTCTTGGATCAATTTTGGATCAACCTTGGTTCTTTCCAAAAGACCTGTGAAGGCTGTGCTAAGAAGGATTTCAGGAGGAGTGTCTCTCAATAATCCTCTTTTGGCTTTGGTCAAAGGGGTTCTAACGGCACCGCAAATGACAACGTCGTTATCACTTCTTGGTGGAACAGGTGTACAATTATTGACTTAAGCACTGAGATGTTGGACTCTTTGCATGAATAAGATATTTTATTTAATTAAATTGCAAATAATTGTTTTTGTATTTGGATAAATCTCCATTCCTAAAATTAGATTTCATGGAATGTTAATTGGAACATACACAAATGGGAAGAAATCCTCAGTGTCCTCTAATTCTTCTTTCGTTCCATATAACCCTACTTGAGAAGGATCAGCAAACAATTTCAAAAGGGATTATTGAACCTTCTTCTCTTTTCCTTGATCTGGCTATTTAGATTATATAGTATTTATTCATACTTTAAGGATGCATTAAATATTTGGTTCAGCTGCTCCAAATCTCATAGCAATATCCACAACTAATCTGAGAACCTTCAAATGCATATACGTAATGTATAAGTCACTAAATGCTTTTTCGCATGCTTATTTTAATGTAGTCTATGTAATTTATATGGATGTTCAGATACATTCATGTGATCTGATTTGGACTTGAGATCCAATCTCAATTTTTCTCTTTCTTTTGATTCCTATGATTTGTATTCAAATTCTTTAACAGTAATTCTCAATTTATCTCTTGCCTTTTAAATGAATTCCTCGACTGGAGTTTACCTCTACTTCTTTCCCTTGTCATCATCACCTTTATCAGCAACTTCGATGTCGTGATCCTTATCGAAAGATTGCCTAACGATCACCACTCTCCAAATTGTCAAATTATCTTTATCTTCAATTTAGAATTATCTATATATTTATTGTCTAATAAATACCTTGCTGATTATGGCACAACATTTTCACATAAAAATTCATAACAAGCTAACCATTCCTAAATCTATGTCTTTGGTACTATAGCCACCAAAGTTGTTAGATAATCGCTGTAAATGAAATCCCTTGGTTTGACTATGGGTTCCTTTAGGACATCGACCAAGTCCCTCACCATTAGATTTCCTTCCTTCCTTGCCACTTGTTAACTCTGATTCTTCAATTCTTAATAACTGGTTGATTTTTGTCTCAAATCTGTCTCCACATGGGTTGCTCTCTAATCAGCATAAATAAATTCTTTACGGATGAAATTGCCTTGACTAATTCGCTTAATGCTGATGCTCTTGGGAAGGTTTGGTCATTCCATTTGAATTAGAATAAAAAATTCTCAATGCTCTCTAAGAATAATATTTCTTATCATACATGGACCCTCTTTCAATTCAATTATGAAGTCATAACTAACCTTCTCTGTGACATCCAAATACTATCTCTCAATCTTCTTAAGCAAACTCTCCACAACTGATTCCTATTTCAACAAACTATCATTGATGAACATCAAGTGATCCAAATTCCCCAACTTGAATTTTCCTATCTCTGTCTGCAAAATTCTCCCCTTAGCTTATCTCGATATTCCAGAAGTCAGAACGTGTTTCTCCGTCTCCAACCAAGCCGTCTATTCGTTAGACTTGTGAGGAGCACCAATCAGATAGTATACCATGTGTTATATTAAGATATTTTAATTTAATCTGCAAATAATTATTACTTATCCACACATTATCTCCTCATTTTATCATCAAAGCCCATTCTTCCAAAATCGTTGCATCATTTGATAATTATCCCTATTTATAAAATAATAGCACTCTATATGCTTTATAAATCATTTTATACACTCCAGCAATTAAATAAAAATCAGAATTTATGTTAATTTATTATAGTAACATACATAACCTAAATATAATTACTACAATAAATTAAATTTACAACTCTTTCGAATTCTTATCTAATGAACATTTCAATAAAATTAATAAGCAAGTAAAAAATTGTATCAAAAAACAATTACTTCTTTACTAAATAATCATTCGTTTTATTCTAAATTAGCACTTGAAACTTTTGCTAAATTGAAATATATATATATAAAATAAATGTTAAAATTAGTCAAAATTTGTATCAAAAGGTAAGACCTTTTGCTAATACTTATAATGACTTATAACGTGAATTTTAAGTATTAATTTATTGGAAAATAAGAAATTATAAAATATTTTTATACTCTATAAAATATACATATTCATATCTGTTCAACATGGTTAGATAACATTTGACGTATATGGCAATAAATAATGGGGAGGAGGGCAAGTCAAAACCGGATAAAATATTTAAAAAGAGGGAAAGTTATTCACTGGACTCATTGAAGGATAACTGTTCGTACTCATTGGTAGCATGTATTATTAAGTATTATTCCAATAAATTTAAACTGAGTAATCTTGAGAGTGAATTTCATCTATTTTATTTTGTTTTTAATCAGTCTTTGTTATTTTTACTTATTCTGGAACAATGTAGTATGGGTTCTTAACTCCAAAATGTTTCGATCTAAGGTATGAATAAAATCGATTCTTTATGCTATTTTCCGATCTCCCATTCAATTTTTTCTATATGGCACTCCATTTCCCCCCAATTTTTTTATATATTTCTAATAATTACTCATCCTCCTCTACACTCCAAGGTTCAGTGTTCAAATTTGGGTGCAATTGGTTCAAATAGTGCTCTCTAATTTACTTGCCTGATCTATTTGGCAATAATTTGGCGATTCTACTCCAATGGTATCCATATTCTTTGACTAAACTCTTTAGTTTATCATCTTCCTCTGAAGTCCATTATCTTCTCAGCTTATAGCCTTTGATTCGTTTCCATCTCTGAGCACATTGTGATGGGTTTCTCCCTCCAATTTAACGAGCGACTTCAATCCAGTCCAATCCCATGCTTTATCGCAATTCTTACAATTGATGATCTTCTTCAAAGGTCCAAGCCTTACGCTAAGGGGCTATTATATCAGATGGTAACATTCTCCTAATAAATTTATTTTTGTTTTACTTAATCAATCAGATATCCCTTTTAATACCAAAATTCAGTTATTTCAATACTCTTTTTTAATTCTTCATTTTAATTGAACAATCGTTCAGTAATATATCTTTCCTTCATAAACTAAATTTTATGAATACCTTACAATTATCGCACACAATGAAGAATTTAGCAATTTATATAGGACCTACATTTTGAAAATTCTTGTTTATTATTAAATAAAAATAACTACTTATTACTGTAAATCCTATTACTGGACATCAAGTTCTGACGATACGATAACACAAGGCAAGAGTTCCTTATTTTTTCATTACATCAAAATAAAAATATTTATTAGTTTTTCATTCCATCATAAAATAAATTAATAAGAACAAAATTATACATAAAAATCTTTTGTTCTATCATAGTGAGTGTCAATAGACAACTATCAATCTGTAAAAATCATTTTTGGGTAAGTTAAGAATATATCATTCATTAAAATTAGAATAGGGGAATATAATTAATACAATTAATTAAATTTATTAACTAATTTTAATTAAATGACTTTTATTTTTTGACAAAGGATTATTAAGTATAAATAATAATAAACAATTTTAACAATTTTTAGAAATGTTAAATTACAAATAATAATAATCTTGAATATCAATTCTTCTTAATAATTTAACATAAGAAGACATATAGATATATAGATTAATGGAATAATAATAATAAAAATGCAATATAATAATGCAAATATATTTGATATTGATCATTAAATGGGTCTTTTTGATTTGTAATATTCGATTTTATTATCTTTTTTTTCAAAGTCCTCCTTAATTAGATGTTCTCCTAGTCTGGCTAGGTCCAAATAATGAATCTAAGTCTAACATATGTTCTAAGATAGTAATAAGTGCTTACTTCAGATAAAAAGGTTTTAGAGGCTTCTCCTTATTCTAAAAGATCGTCTATCATTTCATAATCTTCAATTTTTTCAAGTTCACACTTCATCATATATTTATCGAAATTCGTATTGAAATCTAGACATTTGTCATCAATATCTCTTAAGGACTTCAAATGCAAATACAATTTGTATGTTGAATCAAATTATTAAATAATTTATAAATTTTGAACTAGAATTTTATTGCTTGCTAATTCATTCTAAGTTATTTAATTAACAATCATTTGCTAGTACTTCAATTGATCGTATTTTGGTTGAAGTATGCCTCTCAACTTATCCAAAAATATTGGATGATAAATTAAGTCCTTTTCCCATCTTCTAATAACAGCATAGGCCTTCTCCAAATCTGCAATATCATCCACTTAACTAAACTTAAATTCATTAATTACTATGCATAATCTATGATTAACTTCTTTAATTTTTGACCGAAACACTTGACATACGGATAATCCATTCTTTTTGCATTTTTTTCATCAAGGATGATCTAATGAATGAGGAACAAATAGAGTTTCTTTCTCTCTTTTCTAGCACTTATGAACTCACTTTCAATAATGAAGGCAACCATGCCGCTGTGTTCAGGGAAAGTGGAACAATAATTTGAAGTTTCTAAAAAATATGAAAAGGTTTAGTCTTACATTTAATAGAATCCTGTAATTCAGTAATTTCCCTCACCTGTCTCTCTAATTGTTTGATGTCCATTGTGGAAAATAAATAATATTTTTGGATTAAATTATCACTTTAATTATTCTTCAAGTTTTAATTTATCAACTAAATATTGTGTCTGCTCAAAATATTAGAGCCATATTCGAAATACATCGACAAACATTCTAATTATATGAAATGAATAATGGGATCTCACTTTCATTAATAAAATAATATGTAATGAAATAAATGATATTAATTGCATTCAAATAATAAAATATGAAAAAGATATCTTATAGTTTCACCTAGTTAATGAAATTGCATTTGCATGATTATCATGTCAATCTCAAAGCCAAAATGGTTCCATTTGCTGGATACGAAATGCCTGTCCAATATCCACAAGGTGTTTTGAAGGAGCATCTGTATTGCAGAGAGTCATGTGGATTGTTTGATGTATCACACATGGGACAAGTCAAAGTCTTTGGAGAAGACAGAATGAAATTCGTAGAAACCCTCACAACCGGAGATTTCCAAAGTATGTATTATTGTCATTAATCAATCAATTAGCAAAGAAATCAGGACAAAGCGTATTGTGTTTGATATTGAATGAAAAAGCAGGCATCATTGATGATACCATAGTTGCTAAAAGAGATGATCACATGTATCAATTTGTATTCAATAAAAAAGTCACATTGTTGTAAATGCTGGAAACAAGTTTATCGATATGAAACAAATGGACAAAATCATTAAGGATTATAACTACAAAGTCTAATATGAGTATCTCAAAGACAAGCCTTTGATTGCTGTCTAAGGTAATTCTGTGAATCTATTTTTAGGACCAAATGCTCATAAGGTTTTGAACGAAGTCTTCGGAACAGAATACAATTTAGACAAGATACCATTTATGTTTATGGTGAATATCAAAAAGAATGGAATAGACTATCAAATTAATAGATGTGGATACACAGGTGAAGATGGCTACGAAATATCTGTTGAGAGTTCTAAAGCATAAGAATTGTGTGACTAATTATTGGCTACCAAAATGGCTTAATTCTGTGGTTTGGGAGCCAGAGATTCATTGCGTCTTGAAGCTGGATTGTGTTTACATGGCCACGAAATGGATGACACTATCTCCCCATATGAAGCCAAATTAATGTGGACTGTCAGAAAACCCAATGTATTTGTCTGTATTTAATAATGTAGAAAGAGACTGGAAAATACAATGAATCTGCTGCCTTTATCGGTAGAGATGCTTTACCCCAAAGATAAAAGGATGCCAAATTCAAAAGAATGGGTTTCATCACTCAATCAGGAATTGCTAGACCACCTTGTGATATTGAATTCTAAGGACAAAAGGTTGGTTCTGTTACAAGTGGCACTTATTCACCTAATCTAAAGAAAGGTTTAGGCTTTGCTTTCATCAACAACGAATATGCTAAAGATGGAACCCAATTATAAGCCGACATTAGAGGATCCAAAGTTAATATCACTTTGAGTCCAACTCCATTTGTACCATAGAGATATTATAAACCAGAGAAAAAGTGATTGACTGTTTATTTAGAAATAATAATCAAAAAATTTTACTATCAAATTTTCTATCAAAGATTTTCTTGACAGAATTACTTTCATAAAATCTATTTGCAAAAGAAGATTCTTGATCTGAATTTATGTGGTAAGATCTTAATATTATCTAATTTTACTTATTAAATTCTGATGTATACTATCCTTCAAAACTAGCATTGAATAATTTTGGACTTATTGGGCGCATTATTCTTGAAGGAATTCTATTAAATTGTTATTATTAGTAATACGAAGATGTACTTTCTTTGACTAATTACTCGGAGTTTTCAGCAAAGGGTCCTCTGATTAAAATTTAATTACATACAATTTTGCTATCTTTTACAAAGGAGATCTTTCTGTTCTTTTGTTTTTGAATTCTCGAGTATAACTGGTTTCCGAAATAAATGGCAAATTTTATGGCTCAACTGAGGATGTCTCTCTTGTCATCTTGCCAGGATATTGAGGTTTCCAATTTTAAAATTAAGATCTATAAGTCGATAAATAAGACGAATGGCTTAAATTAGGGTTGAAATCTGGCTGAGGAGATTTTCTCTTTTTTTCTAACTTAAAAGGCAGATATTGAGACTTATATAAATATTCTAAATACATTATAGACACTCCCAGTGTATAGTTATTTAAGGTTCTTGCCCCACATTTAATCGTGAGCCTTCGATTAATCCAATAGAACATCTTGGTTTCCTACACTGCCATTTTGATAATCCTATTGGTATTAACTTTGAATAGCCTTCAACTGAAATTTATTTTTAAGTGCTTGTAGTTTGGATTGTTATACATAAAGAGCTAATCATAATCGAATTTATAAAATTACTCATTAACCCTAAAAAAAAGGCTGGATTCGATTCAATAACATCTTCTATAGTCTAAGATTTTTCAACTAAATCATTCCAAATTGGATGATCTGCAGGAAATATTTCAATAACTGTTTGAAACAAAGTCTTATCTGAATCCTAACCTTATAGTTTTGGAAGTAAATTCATTTTATTTTTTTAGAGAGAATTGTTTAATCTATGTTCTTGTGATTTTAACTCTTGGTTTTACTAATCATTATAATAGCATTTTCTAATTTCCAACCTATCAGTAAGTGGAATGAGATGATGTTTTTATTTAAGCAGGGATCGCTTCTTAGGTGATTATTGAGCACTCTACTCCTGAGACATTTTCTCTTAACTGGTTGATTTATTACTTAATACGAACGAATCGCTACTTTGAAGACCAGACTTCATTTCATTCCTGATAAACATTAATATATAGATAATTTAATAATTATCATAAAATTATCTTCTTACATTTTAACCCTCTACTCCCAGAGCTATCTCGATTTAGGTGAGTTAACATAAGCTGAGCTGAATTTGAGATGCTCATAAAAGAATTAATAAATCAGAAACTTTATTTACTCATCTCAATAATACCTTAGAAAAATAATGAATATGATTTGGCTGCAAATGATCCCATTTTAATATTTAATTACCATCGAATTTCGGGCAACATAACAAAATAAAAGGTGGTAGAATGCTGATTAGTAGATATTCATTTACAAATAAATTTAGAAACTTGGATGTAATTCAATATACTGTGTAAATTGTCTAGAATTTTACATTATTGATCTATTTAAGAGAAATTATGGAAATAGCCAATTAGTTATACAATATTATCAAAATTGTTGTATAAATAAAATTAAGCAAATTAAAAGTTTTGTTATTCCAAAGTATAAAATCGAAGCTTGAAGGAATAAGTTTTATTCATATCTCATAAAGAATAAATAGAAAAAGGTGATTCTGCAATATTTATTTGCAAATACAAATAATATAAAAATGCTGTAACTGAAAGGCGTTTATTAAATTACATAATTTTTCTAAAATCATAATTGTTTAGATTGCTTTTGAACTTGGTTTTTAACTAAAATATTTGAATAAGATAGATTATATCATGAATTTATTACAAAAAATTACTTCTACAATAACTATTTAAAAATGCTATAATGTAAAAAATCACTAAATAAAAAACTTTTAAATACATTTTTATATTAAGTGAAAAATAAATATATTTTAAGGATTATTAACTGAAACAATAATAAATAATAATGTAATAATTTAAAATTAAGTGTATTATTAATGTATTACTCTTTTTACTGCAAAATCCAAGGTATATTCTAATATCAATAGCATTTTTCATTTTTTGATTATATTAAAATTAATAAACATAAATTAATATATACTTAATTTCGTAGTAGTCCAACCATGTTTTTCACATCCTAGTCATGAGTTAAGTATGAATATTTAATTAAGAAGAGGTTCATATATTTTTTTACCATGAAAATTATTAATATTAATTTGCATTTTATTGTTACGCAATTAATTTTACTTAAATATTGTACATAAGCTGCAAAATTTCTGGAAATAAATATATTATTTATCTAATTAGAGCTAGGAAATGCTATTGTAACTCCTCTAATTTAAAAATAAAAATCTACTAATTCGGGCTTTGACAAATAAAATTCATGAATTGGAATATAATCAAAAATCGAATTAAACATATGTTTATGGAAATAATGAAGATTTGACCGTTGCAGGATAATAGTTTCTGGAATTCTATTTTTATGACTACATGTTGCTACAAGGGTATTCATCATTTTTAGCCTTTAGATTTCCAAATCAGTTATCATACTTTAAAAAACCAAATGATATAATTTAATTAAGGCAGAGGTTGATAAATGATCAGTACTTGGCAGAAATCGGCTTATAATTGAATCTTCAAAATTTTTTGAAAGTTGGCAACCAAATTCAATTAAAGTAATGCAATTCTATATAAATTAGGACTAACTAAAAAGTATTGGCTGACACAATCAAGGCTTTGATCATTGCACAATATTATGATAAGTATTAGGACTTGGAGTCTTTAAGGGACCTTCTGTATCCTGTGATGGAATTCTTATTAAATAAGTAGGCTATAATAAAATATCTTGGATAGAGTACAGTAGGAATAAATTCTCCAAACGTAATACAATCCAAAGTCTAGTTTTATTGAATATTTAACTACTATTAAGGAAGAAATTGAAGTGCTGCCCAAAATGATAGTTGAGTGGAAAAAGAATGAGAAAAACAACAATTAGTCAATGTTTTTAATTTAGCTTGTATTAGATATTTAGAGTAAGATTTTGGCTGAAAATTATCAATTGAAAATAGAGAAGCAAGGAATTAGTAAGAGAATCACTGAGTAATAAGTTTATTTGGAAGCTTTGCAAGAATTAAAACGATGGTTGTCAACTTATAACTAAAATCAAATTGAAAAAGTAGAACATTAAGAGGAAAAATAAATTAATCTGTCTACTACCTTAGATTCCAAGTAATTCAATAATATGAATAATACTGTTTATGAATTTACAGATTAATTAGATAATGAGGAAAACTAAACAGAATTTTATGATTAATTATCATAAATGTTAATTTTAATGGCAGGAAAGTATGAGTTATGACAATAGCCACATGAAACTTTTTATAGAGGAACATAATCGTATAAATATAAAAAATTATAATATTCAATGTTTTTACCATCTATTTATGTGCCAATTAATTTGAGTTACTATCCAAAAAGGATCCCTACATGAGAAGAATAGTTGAGATATTAATTTTTATATTATTCATAAATTAAATGTAAAGCGGATTCTCAGTTTGTCGAAGAAAGGCTGGATAGACTTTCAGAAAGACTCTTGGATTGTATAATTATAAATTAGGACATCAGTAATATCATAAGGAACCTGGGAGTGTATCATTGAATGCAGTGGAGCAATTGAAGAATGTAAAAATATGAAAAAGTAGTTTGAATAGACTAAGACTTACGAAGGGATTATGAGGATTAGAAAATTGAGATAGGAAAGCGATAGAGTATTTGGAAAATTTGTTGGATGTAAGTGAAGTATTATAAAATAAAGCGAAATTTGTGGTTGATAAGAGTAGAATTCCTTAATACGATATACCAGATTTGACCGGATTTGAAGTAATTGAATGACTATTTTAGCTCAAACCTTATGTATCATACCATACTCCTCAAGTTGATAAGGAAACTTAGACAAAATTAGAAAGAATGAATGATTTTAATTTAATTGAGAATTTGGTACCTCGATCGGAAACAAAATTATTAGATAAGAAGTGACGCATCAATATTAAGAATTTTAAATACCCTATCTTAAATATCATACTCTTCTATTCTATCTTTTTGTATTTTTATTATTTATATTCAAAATATGAGTTCCAAAAGAAGGGTAGGAATAGCCCATTTCCTCCTCAGAACCTTTGAAATGCTGGATGTACAAAAATATAATTATAGAATTTCAACAGACACCGAAGCTTAAACATCTGATAGAGTGGTCCGATTGTGGAGAGATGTTCTATATCAAAAACTCTAGGGAATTCGCAAACAAAGTAAAGTCAAGATTCAAATTTATTTTTTAGGTGCTTCCTTAATATTTCAGACATCGCAACTTTTAATCTTTCTTACGACAATTGAATATGTATAACTTTGTTAAGAAACGGTTGAAGAATGGCTGGAATCAATTTCAACACAAGTATTTCAAAAGGGAAGCCAAGTATATTATTTAAGATTATTATCAAACTTTTTAGAAATCTACTCGTACATGTTCACCGTCGAAGCAATGGTTAATAATCTGACGAGGAAGAACAAACAGGTATTTTTGTATCACTACTTTTTAGACCAATAAGACTCAATCAAAAAACAATAAGAATAATTACAATAAATCAAATATCTCCAAAATGATATTGTTCTTACATCAAGTTTCCTCTTTCAATAATCTGTAATTCTGTAAGGCAACTTCTAACGTCTCAAGAATGTATTAACTTAATGCTTAAATTAGAAATTATTGTATCAGTACATAGAGGAACAGAAACAAGAAAAATTCCTCTTTAACACCTTCTCTCTTCTAAATAAATAACAAACCGATTCCCCCAAGTTAACTTAAACCATACTAACTCAGAATCGTAAAGAAACAGATCAGGAACCATAATTATTTGTACTCTCTTGATAAGCAAGATTTATATTTCATCACCTTCATAAAAATATTTAATATTATAAAACTTTGACTGTTACATTTCCAATCACATACGTCCAAATTACATTTCACACTATCTAATCGTATTTGTACAATTGGACATTACTCAAATCAGAATCAATGATGTAATTAACTTAAAATAAATATCTTTAATTGCATAATTTATTTTTTTAAATGGATAAATTATATCATTTTTATAAACACTTGTATATAATCATTATAAATTGTTTTTATATAAATTATCAAAACAAACCTCTTTTTCATTTGCCTCCTAACGTCACGTTATTTAATTAAGGAATAAATCAAGAGATTTCTGAATTAAATTTAATAATATAATATGAGTTCTTAATAAAATAAATAGAAAGATGTTGTCAATAAATAAATGACATTTGCACTGAATCCAAAACCAGATTTTAACATAACTGATCCAATCAAAATTAATAAGACCAATGCTAATGATCCTAACTATGCCAAAAGTGAGCCATCTTAAAAATCAACTAATTTAGTATCTAATTCAAACATTGCAATATTTTAAGACATAGAATAATAAGTATACTCTTTTATCATCATGTTAGAAGTAAAATATTGAGTCTAGATGTTTAAAGAAATAAAATAAAATTAAGCATATAGCAACAAGGTAATTGAATCAATATATTGGCTTAGATCAATTGCTGGATTGAAAGCCTACACTAAAGCGTTTAAAGATAATTAAGATACTTTATTCTACAAGCTGGAAATCAATAAATAAACTGATAAGAATATATTCCTTTTGGCTGATGGTCATGGTGATTAAGGAGCAAAAGTATCCTAATTTGCAATAAAACAACTTTCTGATTATATTTTTGATATGATAGAATCTGCGAACACTCAACCAAAATTTGTGGAGTAAATTAATTCCAATCTCATAGCATCCTTCTAAAAAATTGATTCCAATCTAGTAATGCAATCAATCCACCTAATTATTAGGCAAATTTATCCAATATCGATATTACTGATAGTGGTACTACAATGAATTTGGCTTTAACCTTTGAAAATTATTTAATATCTGCTAACATTGGTGACACAAGAACATTTTATTTTTAAAGGAGTGATAAACCAGATTAACTTGGACCTGCTACTTTTAAAATAAAGCAATTATCAAGTCAGCATACTCCTGAAAAAGCAACAGAATCACAAAGGATTTTGGAATCAGGTGGAAAAATTGAGTAGGACACTCAAGGTTTTCAAAAAACTGGACCATTAAAAGTTAAATCAAAAAAGTAAGATATCAAAGGTGTCACCATTACAAGATCTTTTGGTGATGCTTTGGCAAAATAAATTGGAATCATTTCGTCGCCTGAAATCCACACTTTTCAAATTTTGCAAGAAGGTTTTTTAGTCCTAGCCACTGGGTCAATTTTGGATATGATTGATATTATTGACATCTGTAGAATATTGACTCCAATTACGCCTCCTAATAGTTAAGCAGCCATTGATTGTGCAGCAGGCTAAATTATAGAAGAGGCGAGAAAAAAGGCGAAACTTTAACCTGATATATAGGATGATTATTCATTGATTTTAGTTTATATTGAAATTGATTAAGCTTGAAATCTTCGTATCAACCTCAATAATATAGTTTCCTAATGATATGTTATGTTTTCTAAATTTGGATTTAATTTTAGACTATTATGACTATTTAAAATATATTTTAGCTATTAAACTTAAAAAATGATTATTGAATCTAAAGATTTATTAATATTATAAGCAGGATGTCTGCTCATAAATTAAAAAAATTAGTAAAATATATATTAGCTATTAATTATTTCAATTGGCTCTTTAATCAACTAATTATTTGATTTGATCCATGATATTAGACATTGACTGCACTTTACTATTTTTGGTAGCCATATCAGAGAATCTTTGCTCGAAGTATTTAATTAGGGATTCAATTGAAAATACAATATTATCCTATGAGTATTGCATAAAGTAAGTACCAACTATTTTTGATTGATTAATTGAGTTATCTTAGTAATAACTTCTTTTCCATCCTTGTCAATTGATTCATCTAAATAAAAGCATTTTTAGATCATCAATAGTAACATCATAATAATATTGGAATATGTGTTAGTGACTTTTTGTGTTTTCTTAAGATTGTTAACTAATTCAATTGATTGAGTGGATTCTGTGCTGCTATGATGTTTTAGATAGTCATGATTCTCTTTGTTATACCTATTGGTGTTTCCGTTGTATTGTGATTACTCGGTTATACTGTATTATTTGTAGGATTAGATCTTTTTCTTTAGAAGTCCATTAGTTTCATTCAACAATTGCAATTGATTTTGAGTTTCATCTAAGGTTTTAGTGATTTCTTAATTCAATTTAGTCAAATAGTTGATTTGTGATTGTTGTTTTTCATACTTGGATTGCAACTCTTAATATTGGATTTATTGTTTCTGTAATTAATTCTAGGCCTATTCCAATGATTCAAGCAATTAAGTGAATAGAGCATAGGAATCATTCTGATATAATTCATTTTATAAGGTTTCATCTTGATTGAATTGCGCATTTTTATCCTCTTCAGTATTTAAGGTATGATTGGACTTCTTGGTCATGTTTTCTCTACTTTGACTAAGATCATTCTCTCCGCTGATTTCTTCAATTGATCTGAAAGGGATTAAATAATTAATTTTACTATCTCATTTGATACAACTTAAGAAATTTCTTCTATAATGGGAAGGAGGCTGTATCAGGTGAACCAATTTGAATTGAAGAGTTTACACTATTTTGATTTTGGGAGAATGGTAATCTAGTTTGATTGAAATTATTATTTGAATTCAATCCAAATGAACATCGAACAGATGAGATTTTCTGATTTTCTTATTAAGGATGAGGTGAAAATTATAACAATTGTTGTACTTCATTTAACTTAGAACTTAATTTGATATATTTACTTTTTCATGATCTGATGGCTTTTTAATTTGGATTGCACTATCAATTTCAGCATTATATCTTAGAGAATCAATTTATTAATCATCATCAAAATGATCGTCCAATTCTGAAAAGTTTATTCTTTTTTTTGGGTAACTAGACATATTTGTTAATATTTAAATTTTGTAATTAAATAATATTAATATTACATTTATAAATCGTTTTTTGAGAAGGAATGAGCTTTAAATATTTGTTACTCTTTTAATTGATCCTATTGTGTGTTGCACATAATCAAGGGAAATCAGTTAAGTTATCGAAGAAGCAAGCACATCATAAGCATCATAAATCTCAAAAGTTTTTGGATAGTATAATGGTAATTTTATAAATGCTAATCAAAAAAGGACGTAAATGATGATTCAATAGAACTGTTACTCTAAAAGCACGAAGTAAATTCATACAAAATCAAAAGAACTTCTATTTGGCTGAAATGACAGTTGGTACACCTGAATAGAAATTAACTGTTTTGATTGACACAGGAAGCCCAAATCTACTACTTACTTCATCTCTCTGCTAATAAAACAGTTGCATTCAACATGGTTCATACAATCCATCCTTATCAACTACATCATACTACATCGAAGCCATTAAATTAGCAAATGTACTTTGTTTATATGTACCTAGGGAGAAGTAGGCAATGAGATTGACATATAATTTGCATCTGGGAGTGTAGTGGGAGTATTCTTTGAGGACAGAGTGTGTCTGAATCAATACTGCGTCAATAACCAGTTCATTGTTGGCATAGTAGAACAGTCAGAGGATGTAACCAATATTATGGATCTTAGATATTTAGCCAAATGAAATTCGATGGGATATTGGGATTGGGTAGAATTAAGGAGGCAGTAGTCAAAAACGCATCCTACATTCACAACCTGGAATATGATGTAATATATCACGTAACTCTTTTTTAAAGACAGATACTCGAAACTTTTCACTGTATTTGAGTAATAGTGATGATGATGATATGTCAAGTGAACTAGTTCTGGGAGGGATATCGCAACATTTGATTGCTCCTGGTGAGGAATTCAAATTCTTTGATGTTACATCGGATAATCTCTGGACAATCAATATCAAAGCAGTTTTTTTGGGAGATGAGAGAATTGATGATTGCAATAATTGCCAAGGTCTTATTGATTCTGGTACATCATTCATCAGCTTCCCAGTTTATGCTATGGAGAAATTTTATTAGAAATTTGGAATGTAATGATCTACATCATTTATACTTTAGTTATCAATTGTGTAGTAATATTGATTCATTTCCAGATTTGACATTTGTATTGGATAGAGGGATCAAATTTACGTTGTCAGGATCACAATACTTCAAAAGAAACACTCATGCATTATTCTCAAAAGACATTTGTATTCCATATATAAAAAATAATCCAATTATTGGAGATGAACTGATTGTTTTAGGATAGCCATTTCTTATTCATCATTACGTTTGGTTTGACGAAGATCAATCGAAAATTGGAATTGTTAAATCTAAATAACAATCTCATCAATCCTGATGTTAATCATGATTTTATACATTATAAATTCATTATATGTATGTAAATTATCACCATTATAATTATTTATTTAAACAATAGCATTTTATGTTTGAGTCCAAACTCCCTTTTAGTGTCAATACTTGCAGTATCACATCAAGTCCAGAAAAATTCGTTTGTATAAACATAGAATGTTCAGAGATAAAAGATCAATCATTTGGATGTTATGAATGCTTAATTAAAAAGCATAAATAGATTGATTAACTCCATTTTGAAAAAATAATAGAAATTCCAGCATTTCTATCCCAAATCAAATAGAAATCAAAACAAAAAAATGATATACTAGACAAATTAATCATTGATTGTGATTCTAAAAAAAAACTAGTTCTATAATAAATCCATGAATTGGAGAATTTTGTGAATATTGATCTTCTACATTAAAGACTTTTATAACTCTTTAGTACTTATCTTGCAAAACTATAAAACGAAAAGGATTTAATTATTCTTGCCCCTGACTATTCTAATTAGCAGCATTTGAAATTGCTCAAATTCTATCATGAAGATATTGAACAATATGGAAAAGTGATTACTCAAAGCGGAATTGAACTATAAGGAGAAGTAGATGAAATACTAGAAAACTATCAAATCGTTTCTCTTTAGAAATTTAATAAGTAATTTATATGACAGTGATATTAGACTTAAAAATCAAATAGAAGCACTAAAAATTTAATTTAACGAATAGAATTAAAAATTTGTAATCACTTTAAGTAATCCTAGGCATAATGGGAAATACAGAGAGAAAGGGAAAGATAAAGAGAAAGTCCCTTCATGTAAATAGTAGAATAGTTGAAATTGCCTGTTATTTTTGTATTGTCGATTTTACTTTTTTTGGTGATTGGTCATAACTTATTTTATTTGAATGCTTAAGATTTCGATTCTAGATTAGTTTTAAATTAAACTTAGTAAGAAGACTTAAATATCAATTATACGAATTAAGAGTATTAAACAAATTATACGAAATACACAAATTAAACTAGTTAAGCTAATTAAACTAATTAAACTAGTTAAACTAATTAAACTAATTAAGACAAATAATCAAAATCCTAGAATACAAGAAATTAATAATGGCTTATTAGTGAAATACTTGAAAATCGTAGAGTAGAAGAATTTTAGAATTTTACGATAATTTATGATTAATCATTTAATAAAACTTTTACTCAGGATACTTATGAGAGAATTTAAAAAAGAGTTTTTTGGGATAAAAATGATAAGCTTGTTTGCATTGGAGCAAGAGAGAACAAGAATTTAAGATTGATAGGATGTGATTTAGCAAGCGAAGTATTTTCAATCACTTAGGATGCTTATAGTGCGCGTAAAAGCTAAAATGGTGAAATGTATTGGTATTGGGTCTAATCAAAATCTTTTGGGTTTTCACCAAACAAAAATATAGCTCTCACCAATATTGATAATGAGGATCTCTCAAGTGAACTAAGATTTTCATTTGGAACATCAAAGAACCTCGAAGAAAGAAGAGTTGGCTCCTAATATGGTCACAAAAATACTAGTTAATACAACTTGGTAATCTATGCTTCGAAGGACAACAATTGATATAGGAATATATACATATTCTAATCATTGAATCAATAATAGTAGTTCATTTGTTATATATGTATATTATATTTAATAATTTCTTTGTTTATGAATTAATTTGAATAATGTGAAAGAAGGAAGCAGTGTTCATTGGATTAAATGTTCAAGAAATACGAGGAAGCCACCCAAGTAAGTTTATCTGATAATTGCAATAGAGATATTAGAAGGGTTTAGAGGACAAAATATAGAGAGCAAAATTAGAATCTGATAAAGCGAGGGAAGCATAATTTATTTAAAAGCTCGAGGCTTAGAATAAGAAAATAGAGTTCGATGAAAAATTGTACGAATCTTAGGAGAGAAAAAAGGATATAGAAAAACATATGTTGGAGAAGCAGTAATAAAAAAAAATAAAAGATGAGGAAGTAAGAAGAAAGAAGAAGGAAAATGAAGATGAAAAACTGTAAAAATTATTGAAGAAATAAGAAAAAAAGGATGTTCAAGTGAAGAAGATGAAAAAAGATGTTTAAAAGATTAAAAGGAAAGATGAATTAAAAATTTTATTAGATCAATCAGTATCAGATGATGCATCATTTGAGTTGGAAGTGGAAAAAAAGAGATAATGCAAATCATTATCAGGTTCTTTATAAGCATTGGAGAGCGATTAAATCGTATATTTTAAATTGTAAAAATAAAAAGAAAGTTGAAATTAAGGAAAATAAGAAAAAGCAAAAGTTAAAGAACTTTATGCCCTCAAAAACATTTAGAGAATAATCTGTACCCACTATTAAGAAATCTGTCATATTTCCTATTTTAATTCGATCCAAATACGATGATAATTCATATCTTTTACAATCATTCCTATAACAATAATAGCCATAATCACCTACTTTCAAAAATGAAGAAAATTCAAGTACAAATGTTACTCCAAAAAAAGAGAAGGAAGAGGAACCTCAGTTTTTCAAACTATGTTAGATTTGCAATAGTATTATAGAAAATGAAGATGACAACAAGCATATTTAGTCTAAATCTCATAAATAAACAAAATAATATTATAATCTAACAGCTACTTAAAATGATATCTTGGTTGTAAAAGGATCCAAGGATGAGATTTCATAGAATAGATTTTAATCAATAAGAAAAAGATGTCAAAAAATTAAACAAAAGATCTAATAAAAGAGTCTACAACTAGAAAATATGAATATTTATTGTTATAAAGAACCTGGCAATAGTTATAATAGATAAAGAATTTAAAAATTATCAAATGATCTAGATAAACTGTTGAACAATTAAATTAAGGATTTGTATTAAATTGAATAATTAATGAAAGAACTATTAAAATTGGTAAATTAAGAAACAGATTTGATAAATCTAAGATAAATGAAGTTCATTTAAATTGTTATTGAAGTTTTCAAGAAGATATCTTCCTGCCATAAAAATGAATATACATAATATCTTAAAATTATTGGAGTGGTAAATATTAATTAATTATCATTGAGGCAACTGAAATAGTTTATTAGTTTTGTAGTGTATACAATAATAGAACTTACATGTTGGCAAGTAATAAGTTATTGCCTATTATTGATTTCATGTACAACTTTTTAGCTTCCAAACCAACCAAATTTATATACAGTTATCAATTTGTTGCTTAATGTTTTTAAATATTTAGTTTGCTTATTAAACATAAATTACCAACTGATCCACTCTCTGATTTAAACATTCAGGAAATCTAAGAGGATACCTTAGAATATATGTATTGTTGTGGATTATTCAATAAGATGAAGCTAAGATTTCTATCATTTGAAAAGGATTACATCAATTCTGAAGGAAAGATACCTGTTGCTTTAGTTAAGAGTGTTGCTTTTATTGAAGCAGCAACAAACTACCATGGATTTGAGTAAATTTAATAAAAATGATAGGACATAGAATAAATCATTATTCGATGAAGAGGGAAAACGAATATCCAAAAGTTTTGAAGAGCATCTCAAATTTGTAATTAAAGAAACAGAACTGTTTGGTTTAATCTAATTGATTAGTTAAATGGTTGTGGGTGAAGAGATCTGTTTTACTACTAATAAATTACTCCCCTAGACAATTATAAGTTTTTTCATGGTTGGAATCAAGACTTTGAACAATATTTCTAGATTAAATATTATAGTATTATAGGAGACTATGAACAAATCATCTAATAAATAAGAAGTTCATATGATAATCTAAAGACTTGTAACATATTGTAAATGCAACCTTGAGTAAAGTCAAGATCTAAAAGATTTATTAAATGAATTAATTCTTTTAATTGGATATTATTGTGTTTTGAATCAAAACAATTAAAATTCACTTGTAGGATCTATGAAGAAGATATCTGTGCTTCATAATTTATTGTAAATGCCTTCTCAATTTTATGTTGATAAAATGTTAAAGAACATTCTCTTTCCTACTCTACTTTGCTGTATGTTCAGAAACCCAAACAACATGAAAATTGTATTAGATGAAATGGATAAATCCTATTTCTTAGAAATTTTGTAATATGATGTAAAATATATTTCATAACAATAGTCCGAATAATTTTATGAAAACCAAAATGGTCAATAGTTATAAAGATCGCCTTCAATGTCGAGTACAAATTCTTAGAACTCTGTATTTCCATACAGTTCTGCCATTTACTTTAAGTTGAGTTAACGCTTTCCTATGTGCTATTTTAAAGAAGCCTATAAAGAATTACTAGATTATAAGGATTGAATAATATTTAATTAAATTTAAAAGTTTTATAATACTTCATACATCTTTACCATTTAGCTAATTAACTTCCAATTCTTCATTTTTGCCAAAAAGAAAGTCATGGGATGCTCTAAAAACATCATAGGTATTTTAGATGTCAATTCCCAGAGAGTTACATTAATTACGTTCAGTCATAAACTAATATAAATCTAAAGAGTCATCTTCTTCTATATCATGTCCAAAAAATTTCTCAAATGAGTCTTTAAAGTGATGTTGCATGTCTTTCTTTTCTATAGCTAAAAGTAATTTTGCGACTTAAGATGGTCTTAATTCAGATCTCAATTGATCTAGAGTTGAATCAAATGATGCAAGTTCTTTTTAAATCTAAGATTTCGTGTCCATAATCTAGGTAACAGAGCTAGTCTATAAGATCTGCGTATATACTTAGATATATCCTGATAATGCTTGGCTAACTTTTATTGTTTCTTCAAAAGTATTTACTTTTGTTTATCTGCCAACTTCAACTAGGATAATAAATTAAGATTCATATTTCTATAATAATTTTACATTTGTACTATTCATTTTAAGAGAAGATATCATCTTATTTCTTAGCTATCTAAATGATATAATTGCAAAACGGAGCTAAACAATTTTCATTTATCTATCTTGCATAATGGTCAATTAAAAATTATCTCTCTTGGGATGCTGAACCAAATTTTTTCTACATAATCAAATAACTTACATTTAAAGAATCTATTATTGAATCAACATTTGCCTCCGATGCAGTATTTGTTAATGATGTTTGTAGGTTGTTGAATAAAATGCATTTGGTTTAATCTTGCTCTTTTTTCTAAGTGTATAAAGCAATTGGTTACTTGTGTTAATTTAATTTATAAATTTTATGCCAAACTATAGGTTTTATCATTAACATCTTTAAATAAATCCAATTATTCTGATAATTTTGTCACCTTGTTTTCAAGTAATTCCAGATAAATTTTCTTTCTTTTTCTACTATTTCTAGCGGATTCTCTATTTTTTGCTAATTTATCTTCCTTTTCTGTCTGAGAGACGTAATTGAAATGCTATTAACTCTAAAAAGGCTTCATTAATATTTTTTTTTCTGGCCTTTAAAATTAAACTAATAATTTACATTTTCTCTTCAATCTTTTCTTACGTCGGAGATAATTTCATTAATGAACTAATTTTTTTAATGTAGGTATTTTTTGTATTTTCTTTAATCTTTCTGTTCTAATTTGCAGTAGTTTAAATGTTCTTCACATTCCCTTCAAAGTCGAAATTTATATTTTAACTAGAAGATTATTAGAAGCAAATTGGATCAAAATCATCTAATTGATTCATTTATTATTAATATTATAGATTATTATATGCTGTAATAAATCCTAATGAAGTTAAATCATCTGATAATAAATTAAATTATTATAATTTTTATTATATAATTATTTATTTTAAATTCTTATATCTAAATTTTTTGGACTTAGATTATTTTATATTATTACACCATATTTCAAGAATTATTATTTGAAATCTGATTTAATAAATTGTAATAAAAATAATTCCATTAAGTAACACTATGATTGATAATCTAAAGTGTTAGAGAAAGAATTATAACAAATTTGAGTTACTTGATTTTATCATCATTTTTAGCTTAGTATATATTTAATCACAAAACCTCAAACTGTAAAAATGCTGTAATTAATAATGTAAATTAAAATTAAAATTTTTAAACAATTCTCATGGTGCATTTACTGAAAATATCTTTCAAAAGGGTTTATTCTTAATGAAAATGGCCCATCTGATGAGTTTGGTATATTCTTAAAATCAGAAATTGATAAATATAGGATTCAAGAAAAATAATGAAGAATATATTAAACATAAAAGTAAATCCATCATACCAAACTTATGAAAACTAATTCATAAAGAAATGGAAGAACTTTTTAGAAAAATATATTTATCTTTATGTAAGCAAAATTAGCAATTAATATGAGAAAATATATATAAGATTAGCCTATTTATAATTATCAATATTTTAGAGTTTCTTAAATAAGTTTTCATCAAATTTGATCGAAACATCGAAGTAGACTATTCAATTTCAATACACTTTTTCAAAAATCAAGGAAATTAGGATTAAAAGATCTCAAAATTAATTAATCCTTTCTGTTGTCGCCATTTAATATAATGTCTTTCCTACCCTTTGAGAATCAACAAAACTACAATTCTGAGTTTTCAATAATAAATTTAAATACTAATTTTAGCATTCAATAATTTTATGGATAATTATTGAAATAGAATTTCTCTTTTTCGATTTTCAATCTACTTTAAAATATATTAAATAACAGAAATAATAGAAAATAGTACTTGAATTAAATTGAAAATAAACAGATTGATAAAAATGGATTGAATATCATTCTGTTTACTAGTTGATAGATTTATTTTGTTAACTTAATCTTTATGTACAACCTGAAAAATTTAGGATGGGATTTCAAACTATAACAGTTAATATAAGTACCCTTGTTAATCTTTAATTTATTGATTTTCCAATATCCCTTATACTAAATCTCTTTTACAAACATCTATAAAAAAATTCATCACACTTTCTCTTGTATTGATATCATCATCGTTATCATATGCTTCTTACAAGAGATTCTAATATTCCGGTTTGATACCAATTTAACGATCTGTGTATAAGGGAAACTTGAATTTAATGTTAACATCAGTTTATGACTCCAATTCCACATACTTTTAAGTTGGCTTCTTCTTTTAAGAAACAGTTGCTTATTAAAGAGATTTTGAGTACTAATCCCAACTTATTTTTTATGTTGGGATGTTCTCCTTGCCAAAATCAATCTTGAAAATTGAAGAATTTTAAGGTTCTGGTTAAGTTTGTAGATAAATTGATGTATGCCTTCTTTCTGCTTTTGGAGGTGATTGATTCATTTCTTAGAATAGTTTGGCGCACTATTAACTTAAATTTAAAATTATATTGAAAATCTACTTTTATAATTCCTAAGAATATTGAATAATTAGAATAAGAGCATCATTTAATTGAAGTAATTAACAGTTAAATACCTAGTATTGATAACCATTTTACATTTTGAATATCCATAACTATGCGTGAGTAGATGATGTTTAATTATTGAGGTCATAAATAATAAATCATGGTAAGAATATCGTGATAAAGGGAATAAAGAAATACATTTATGCTATTATAGTGTTGATTGCAAAACTGAAGCAAATAAGAAAAATAAAATATAAAATAATGATCCAATATCATCAATGGGTTTTAGAAATTTTAAAGAGAATGACAATAAAGGATATATTAATACTTAATTTTTGATTGAGTATTATTGGAATATGGCCAATTGATTTTTGGAGTGAATGGAGATCATGTATGGATAGTAGTTTTTGAATTATATCAAATGTATTATTTTATTGATATCGCATAGATTAAGCGATGTGTGAAGAACTTTTGGAATAAAAGAATTAAAAAAAGAGATCAGATTTAGGAATTGCAAAAATAAGAAGAAAAAGTAATTATTGGGAATGGCAAATCCTATTAGTGCAAGATGATTGTTATTAAGAATGCAGTGTGAAATCACTCTGGGATAGATGTTAGGGATTATCAAGTTCGTTCGATAATTGGTTTAATTTAGATTATATAATTTATATATAATTGTATGACATCCTCTTCAAAGACTGATTAAATTTACCTGATGACTCTTTTCAAGGAAATCAAGACTTCCATCTTTAAGTAAGAGGTAATTTAATGATAGAGTGTTTTGCTTGATTTTAAAAGAACAAGAATAAACATTTACTTAAACTGTGTTGTTGTCAACAATTTAGTTGCTCTAATTGCTTTACATACCTTTTGCTCTTAAAGTGAATTACATTTGGAAAAATAATTAGGTAACTGATGTAATAAATAAAATATTGAGGTAAAGAAATGCTATATATTTGAGTTATTTTGAAATTTTGTTGCATGTCAAAGATCAAGGTTTTTCAGTATTTCTATATCTGTTTTATTCATTTTCTGGATTGATTGTTCTGATTATGTTGGGATTAACTCTTTTAGTGAATCAGTAAAACAGGAAAAATAGTACAAATTGGATAGTGTTGGTTGTTAGAATAAGTATAAAATTAATGATTACAATCTTATTTTTTCCTATAAATTAAATCTTCTTTGGAGTATTTATTATTACCCTAATTTCATAGTTACTAGCATGTACAAGCAATTCGAATGGCGTAAGTGTATTGGTCTATGAAACTGACGTGGTATGTTGGTCAAATGAACACACAATCCATGGAGTGTTATCAATCTTTATTATATTTTTGTTCTAGATTCAAATCAACACCTTTACCCTATTCTTATTTGAGGCCAAGAAATCAAACACGGATGTATTCGCATAAAGATCTGGTAGATAGTTTTCTTTATTCCACATTTACATTACATTGTCTACAATGGTATATCAACTAGTAGAAACCCCTGCCTATAGTATAATCATAACTTTGACGATGTTTGTTTTGAGTCTCCACTTTTTTTATCAAATAAAGTATTCTGCCCCCTTCTACAACCCATATGTGCAGAAATTATGGAATGTGATAACCGCAATTAATTGTTGGACTACTATCATGATCAATTTTGCCTTTTTCTTGGAAGGACCCTACTTTTAGAATTCCCTCCTAGGTTATGCCCTGGGCATACCAATTCTAATAGGGATCATATTTAAATAGTAGGATTAGGAAATAGATCTCCTATTTTCGAATCTCAATTAAGCCAAACAGCCGAATGAACTGATATCCTTATGTGGGTATCTACTGACATTGAATGAGAAATCAATCAAGGATCAACATTCTTAATTGTTATTGGATGCATTCCTAGAAATACATGAGTAGACATGTCCAAGATTGGATTGCATAATGAAGAATAAGTAGTTATTGCGATAAATCTAAAATAAACACTAAAATAGACAAATAGAAAACAAAATTATTATTAATGAATTAATAACTTAAATGCTCACATTTGGCATTAAGATGTAGCCTCTAAATATAGATCTCCGCTTATATTACTCATTTTTTTTGATTGATGAGATTAAGTCTCCTCAATTGGCATTCATCGAATTATCTCAAGCGGAGAATAACTCAATCCCAATAGATCAGTAATTCATCATTTATAGATACAAGAAACTCATTGAAGATGTTTAAGTTGAAAATGATGTCACTAAATTAGAGACCAACAACTTTATCAATAATTAGAATATCTAGATATCCCTAAATTAAAAGTTAGAGGCCTAATGTATTTTGCAATTAGAATTCCTGGCTGCCTTGGAAGACGAGAAGCCAGATCTTGCCAAAATAGACAGTGTTGGATTTAAAATATTGAGGATAAAGAAATTCATTGATAAAGAATGGCAAAAGGTACAGTAGCAAAATGTATACTCTCCATCCTTATACAAAATAATGAGCAAATACTTCTTCTTTGTACTCAGTGATGAGTATGAAGGTAATATGACATTGATGAAGTAGGACAAATTCATTAAACTCTAAATAAATGATCTAATTAATTTAGAATAGGCATCTATTGAATCCTCTCCAATCATCATTTTAAATACTGAATAAAATAATTTTGGGATAATCAAGGATGTGAATATAGCATCTTGCAGCTTTTTAGGGTTTTCGAAAAGTGATCTCATCGAGAGAAAATTGTCAGTGATTCAACCATAAATGTATTGATTTCATTAAAAAATTTTAGTTATATAAATTTTCATGATCAATTGATTGACAATTACTTAAAACGTGTCACTGACATCCAAAAGTCAAAGGTTGAAAAGGTCATATTCATTAAGAATAAGTAGGGATACATTTAATAATGTTCCTTATAAATAAAATAATTAATGACTTAGAATTAAGAGGTATTCTTAATAGGGAAAATAGGGATAGAATTAGTCTATAAGCCAATTTGTTATTTGATTTGCAATACTGATGGAATCATTAAAGAAATAAATTGTGCTTGCATAAAGCTTTTACGTTTAGATGTTTAGATGATTAAAGCAAGCAATAAAAATATTAAAGATCTTTTCCCTGATATCATGAGCAGAATACCTGAAATATTAGGTAAAAAGAATTCCATCATTTCTTTTAATATCAATGCAAGCTAATTAAATCCTCAAAGATCATCATCCATTAAATCATCAGGAATGGATAGTACTCTTCTGGATGATTGTGTAATGGATGAATCTCTAAAATTGTAATGCTAAATCTCAGAGATCTCTATTGATCTACCAAATGCTGGATTAATTGGGTATGTTTTTAAATTCGAGAAAATCGCCACACCATAATTATCTACTATTCACAATACTATGGTGGACAACTTTTATAAATTTAATTTTAAATTTAATTCATAACTAGACACCTATTTAGGATCTTACTAGAATTATATGTAAACTTTGCATAAAATCAGCTATGATACTAGTTCAATAGTTTCATCTTAAGAAGATTAATAATAATAAAGATAAGTAAATAGAAAGTAAACAAAAAAGTCAACCAGTATAAGTAATGGAATTAAAACTGTTAGATTGATTAACGGTATGCTCATTGATGTTGAAGGACTTTCAGAAGAGGAGATCTCTGAAGGTGAATAAAATGAATTCGAAAGTATTAAATAAGAAACCAAAGATTCTGATAGTATAATATAATCAGATTATATCTTTTTGAAGACTAAATCTTCATTGATATCCATGATTAAGAGTTCTATTATTCCATCATTTCTAAATACCTTAAGGTATATTATATCGATATTGATTGTTGGTCTACTAACACTTGGCTATTTGCAATTTTTTTTTGATCTAAACTATCAAAATGAAATATAAAATGGGTTAGACCTATTTTATTTAAGTAATTAAAGATTATCGAAACTTCTTGTTGTTCAATCTTACGTTTAAGAACTAAAGTTTATGAATTTAAACTATGAAAGCTTATTATCAAATTATAATTTTGATGAGTTGAAAGATTCAAACATAAAGACCTTAAATGAGATAAAAGATTTATAATCGAGGTTAAGCTAAGCTAATTTCAATTTAGCCCCTTAATACAACTCTTACTAATAAGAATATGAAGACTCATCAATTGAAATGACTTAATCAAACGTAGTTATCAATTATACTTTTAATGAAGCAATCGAGTAAACCTTAGTCAAGGCTCTGTCATTGTCTTAATAAGACCTTTCCTCATACACAGACGATAATATTGATCTCAATTATTTTGAAACTAATTCATACAATTCAATAGTGTATCACAATTATGTGGCTTAATTCTATTTTTACTATTACATGGTTACAGTGTTGGAGGAGAAATCATAAAATGTGTAAATAATCCTCATTTTAGTTACCCTCATTTTATTTATTATGTATTAAATATAACATTAAATAAATTTAGATACGTTGCATGTTCGATTCTGATACTGAAAATAAAGAATCTTAGAGACAATATCCTAGTTCTATTATTATAGGTGTAAGAGTAATAAATGATAACCTTGAAGAAAAACTACGAATACTTTTTATAGCTCATTTAAAGTAAAGAAGACGAAGAAGTATAAAATCCTTTTTAATAATTAATAGAATTTAGATTATGAAGAGGAGTTGAGAAAACCAGTCTAATATCAAGAAGAGGGTGCTTAGGATTCTTTGAAGACTAATGATAATGACGAGGCTTAATTTCTGATTAAAAAGAAGAGGAAAAAGTTTGAGAATAGTCATACTATATTAAGGAACATTCTAGTTTCCATAATATTTATTATTTCAATATTTTAGGCATACTTCATTTATCTGATAATTGACAACAATGTATGATTTAGTATTTATAATAGGATCTTGACTCAAGGTATAATGCTATCTTACCTGTTTTGAATTTGACTTCAATTATAGAATCATATTTAAGATTTGGAGATAACTCTTTTAAATAGAGATATGTTGACAACAATTTTGTTATTAATTTTGGTAATTTTGATAGTCAATAATACGTATAACTGTTAAAGAGTATGATATCAGACATTCACAAATAGCATTCTGAAAACTCAAATGTGTTGGATATTGGTTATATTGGTGTATTTGAGCAGATATTTATATTAAACCCCTGTGGTTTGATTAAAGAGATTGATCCAAGTGTGTCATAATCTGAATGTGAGAGTTTTAATGACGGAATCATCGGTTAAGGGTTATCTATGGCAACCATAAAATATATCAAATATTTGGAATAGGCACTGAAGAATCCAGTGTATTTTACAAATGTTAGGAAGACTTAATTAACTTATTTTAAAGATTCTTTCTAATACTTAGGAGATAAATTGATTGAATCAATATCTAACGATTTTTCTGTGAACCAATTGACCAAAGTCTCTTTGTTCACGGTGTTTAATTTGCTAATGCTATTTGTGTATTTTTTTATTTGGATACCTCTGGTGAGAAATTTGATCCAATCAATAATAAAGACTCGCTTGCTATTTTCATTGATCCCCAATAATGATCTGCTTAAGTAAGGAATTTAAACTATGTAGAATAAAAGCCATCATGCAATATTTATTGTAAATAAGAAATCCTATGTGAATATGTAAATGATTCTGATTTTGATATAAAATTAATTTCTTATTACTAAGGTTTTTAATTAAATGAAGTTAAAATAAAATGATTATTCAGGTAATATTGATTTTGCTTAACTCCAAAACGGAATTTCTCTTTATTTCTGAATACTTCTCGTGAATCTCTTGATCCCTTTGACTGTCTAATTTCAATTCCTTCATTCGTTTCGACTGGAGCACTTCAATCTATTCATCAAACACGAAGCAAGTGGAATTGGCTGCTGCAGTAAATAACCCTTCAGTTGGTGCAATATAACTTAAAGGATATATATATAGAGCCTTACTCATATTTATTAAATACGTTATTTTTAGGATCACGTAACTCTCCGGAAAACAAGAAGCCTCCATTAATGAATTCGATTTAAGACAGCGTAGTAAGTTTGACTAATCTGGATTTATTTCTAAGCAGTTCATTCAATCGCTTCAATTCCATTTGAGCCAGGGGACCAACTTGATTCTCGTACCATTTTCTGATGTATTCTAGTCAATGAAATTAACTAATACCAATTGAGTGTAAATACACCTTAAATTCGAAATCCTTATTCCTGATCATAACCTCTTTGATAACCTTGGTTGGTAAAGCATACAATAGAGATTCGACGGCTGCCTTTGCCGTGCTCATATGATTACCATCTACAATGAGACTTTAGTGGGTTATCAAGGATCCTAATCCCTTAGTAATGAGAATTCCATTGTATTCATTCACAACATAGCCTCTCATAATAATGTAGACTTCATTGCATTCGCTGCCTTTTGAATAAATCACTTATCCCAATGCATACTTCCTTTCTACAGCCACCTTTTTGATAATGTCCAGATCACTCAAAGATATCTCCTAAAATATAGGGAATTGCATGGCGATGACGTGGAAAGAGGGCAAACTCATATCATATGAATGACTTTCCAATTTCACAAGTTTGATGTTAATATCCTTCATCAAGATTTTATACTCCTTATCATCAATAAGGCCTCGTCTCTAAGTGGATTGTACATGCTCTATGGAGTGAGTTAGGATGGAGAAGGAGGCCTTTTTGGTTTAGAGTACTCTGACAATTTCAGGGAAACTACCATTCAAAGTACCAAAGTAAGACTGTGCCTTTTCTATTTCTTTTTTCAATTCTTCTTAAATAATAGATATAGCTTCCTTATTCATAGGGAAATTGTCTGCCAACTTCAATGCCTCTTCTGCACAAATAATAAATGAGGATGTGACATCATACACTAGACCCAGATGTCTAATTAAGTATTCTCTGGCGAAATATCCTATCAGAAACTTCTGTTTCACTTTGAAAAAGAAATTAACACTGCAAAGATTCATAAAGTTCTTATACAATTCATCCCAAATTTCAAGGTTATCACTTAATTTATCTAAGCCTACATCACTAGACTCCACCAACATTCTCACTGTCTATTCTTCACAAAGACCTTCTTCATATTTGTGGTAATACAATCCCTTAAGGATTCTATAGAATCTATATCTGACTTCTCCAAAAACTTCCTGATTTGGCAACCCTTCATAAATCATTTCTTAAAATCCCCTCTTCTATATCAAATGCTTAATCTCTTATTCCACTTTGTCAATTTTTTCAATAAAGTCCTGCTGCCCAATTAGGTTGTTAACAGTAGCCCAATCAGTCATGTTGTAGAACTCATCAGTCTCCAATTCCTTGACTAAATCCTATTGGATAACAATCAACTCTTCCAAATATTTCTTATACACCTTCTTTTTCACAATGGGTTCATCTATCATTTTAACGCATTTCACCAAAGTCTTGCACGTAGTTCCATTGATCATATTGGTAATTAGGGCCATGGCTGCAGCATAGAAGACAGCTAAATGTCTAAAACGAGCAGGCAGATCTTCGTCGCAACCCACCATTAATGAGAGTGTTAGTCCCAATCCTCCCCTCAATCCTCCATACACCAAGACAATCAACTCAGACTTTGAGATTGGATAACCAAAGCCTAAACAATATAGTCATTCATACATTTGAGAAATGGATAGAAAGTTAAAACCATCAGAAGTCTCGCCAAAATCATCAAGAAATAGAACCCTACCATTTTGTAATAATCTGAAGTTAATATTAATTTCTCCTCCATTATTTCTATCCCAACAATGATGCCTACCAATAGGAACACCAAAGTGTCACAACTATATTAGACAAATCCCCAAACTGCATGCACTGAATGTTCAACTGATGCCCTTATCCTTGTCTTTGCATGAGCACACCAGAACAAACCTAGGCCTACTACTGCTAACAGTCCACTTGTTTTGAAAAATTCAAATTCCGCCCAATAAAATGTAAAATATGTAAACACAAATGTCAACCACGTCACTTCGACATCATCACCTAATATTCTTCTAGTCCATAAAGCAACCAACAATCCCAATATTAAACCCATAATTGGTCCTAAGAAAGATGTTCTGAGGAAAGTTAATATGATATCACCTCCATTAACGGCTTCACCTTTTCCGCTCGAGGCTTTTGAGATATTGTTAAAAACATTAAAGAGGACCATTGCAACTCCATCATTAAGCAATGCTTCCCTATAATATATCGTTTCTTTCATACCCTTCGATCAAGTGGTTAAACGCTGGATTGGCTCCCAGCTCTTTTAGTAAAGCAACCACAGCAACTGGGTCGGTTGCAGATAAAACTGATCCCAAAGTGAATGCTTCATACCAGTTCATGTCCTCATCGCCATATTAGAGAACGAGCTTAAAGCATGCCCCCAATAGTATAGCACCCTTCAAATATTCTATAAAATATTACCCATCCGCATCCTGGACCTGCCAACAGCAATATATTGATAATTTAGTACTTGAAAGTATACCAGTCACAATTGAATGCCGATTCGAACAGCAGAACTGGGATGAAGATGAAGACAATGAGGTGTGGGTGCATTTTAGATAAGATGTGAGCACTGTTCCCTATTTTCCCCAAATATTCCTAGGATAGACCAACTGCCAAACCAAGAGCAAGGATCATGGGGGAGTATGGGATGCTAGATGTATTGGTTTTACAGTGTACTTAGTCTTTTTATTGAATTCTCTAAGAATAAGTCCGCATATTAGTCCTAAGACCAAGAAATGTATGAGTTGGGCTGACTCTTCCATCTGATGTTCGTCTCTCCATAAGGAATCTCGTTGTATGGATTCGTAATTTTCATCTTAACCACCTAAATCATCAGAAGACATTTAATTATAATATGATGTTGGAAAAGAACAATATTCTGGTTCTATATATTAATTTTTAATATGAATAACAATTTTAATTCTAAAATATATATGTTTGTTTATTGGATTCATAATTCCTATTACTAATATTACTATTGAACATCTATCCTTGAGAATCTCTGATCTATAATCTCCTCATGATTCTCTAGGTTAAATTACTCCAATCTATCCTGTTTAATCATATCAATAGCATCATCGAAAACCAAACAGATGAGTGCTTTTGTAACATTGAAATCATTCTCTCTAGGTGGTACATAGCTAACTTACACCAAATCATTACCAATAGTCATTGTATCGTTCGACTCCCTCATTCTCATCCTGGATGCAACTTTAGATTTCTCCTTTTATAATGTAACCTCCAAACATGAATTCGACATTTGAATGCACATCAAACTTTCTGAATTGAGCCTTCTGTCTAAGGAATGTGCCTAACCGTTTTTATTCCATTTAACCCAACGGTCCCGCTTGAGATTCATATAATTTAATAAGATATTCTAAAAAACTAATATAAAAATAATTTACCAATAGAGTTAACATAGATCTTCTACTCGAAGGCTTCTGACTTTTACATCAAAGACTTAAGTACATTTAAGTTTAAGGAATGTAACACAGTTTCAGAGGCTGCTTTGGCAGTAGTCATGCATTTACCATCACCAATCAGATTGGCATATGATAATAATGATCCTAGTCCCTTTTTCAATTGATGAGATCCAACTTCATCTATGACATTTCCTTTTTAGATGATGTAGATATTTTGACAGGTCATACCTTTCTCATAGATAATTTCATCAGATTGATATCTTTTCTCGTAAGTGGATTTAATGATGGTATCTAATTCTTCCTTGGGGACACCAGCGAAAACTGGGAATTCCATAGCAAAGGAATGGAAAGTTGGAATTTGCCAATCAAAGACATGATTTTCAAGTTAAACAAGACGAGCATCAATGTTACTTTTAAGTTGATTGAATTCTTTATCATCTACAAGTCCATTCTTCTAATTTTCTTCAAGATGGTGTCTTTGATGCATAAGAACTGTATGTGAAGCTCTCTTTGTTTATATGGCTCTGATGACTTCTGGGAATGTGTCATTTAAAGTGGCCAAATAGAGTTCAGCTTTGTTGATTTCTGTTTTGATCTCTTCCATAATCAATCTAACTGCACTCTTATTCATAGGCATGTGTTCTTGTAATGTGAGTACTTCATTGGCACATGATATGAATGTTGTTGTTACATCATAGACGAATCCCAAATGCTTGGTGATATATTACTAAGCATATCCACCGAGGAAAGTCCATTCCTTGGCTCTAAAAAAGTACTTGATACTGCTAAAACTAGTGAAGCTTTGGAATAATTGTTCCCAAATATTCAAAATTGATCCAGTGTGATCAAGAGCAACATCACTTGATTCCACAAGCAATCTAACAGAATCTTCATCACATTGTCCATGTTCAAATTTTGAGTAATATAATCCCTTTAGAATTCTGAGCACTCTGTATCTAACCTCTCCAAAGGTGTCAGTGTCTGTCATTCCTTCATAAGAAACTCTACTGAGATTGCCACCTTGAATTTATTTGATTTCATTCTCCAATTAGACTACTTCCTATAAAAACTATTGTGATCCTACAAGTGATTTGACTTGATTCCAATCAGCCATAGCAAAGTGATCATCTCCTTCCAATTCCTTTATTGTATCTTCTTGATCTACAATCATGTCAGTCAAATATCGTTTATACACTTTCTTTTTAATCACTGGATTCTCTATCATGTTTAAATAGTTCACCAAAGCCTTGCAGGTAGTTCCATTAACAAGATTAGTCAGAGCAGCCATTCCAGCAGTAAAGAACACAGCTAAATGTCTAAATCTTGGTGGAAGATCTTCATCGCATCCAACCATCAATGAAAGTGTTAACCCCAAAGCTCCTCTCAGACCTCCATAGACAAACACTATCAACTCTGGCTATGACATTGGATATCCGTATTTCTTCAACAATGGCCAAAATGAAATAACCATCAAGTATCTGCATATGATCATAAAGAAATAAAACACAATCATTCTGAAGTAATCAGATGTATAAATGTATCTCTCCTCAATCACCTCTGTGCCAACTATCATACCCACCAACAGAAACACAGTTGTATCACAGAAATATTGAACAAAACTCCAAACTGTATGAACTGCATGTTCGCTCTCAGATCTTATTTTGGTCTTACCAAATGCACTCCAAAACAAACCCAAAGACACAACAGCCAATAACCCACTAGTCTTAAAGAAACAAAATTCAGCCCAATAGAATGTCAGATATGTGAATATGAATGTCAACCAACCTACCTCAACATCATCTCCTACTATTCTTCTTGCCCACAAAGCTCCGAAGAATCCGACCACCACTCCTAATACAGGACCAACAATTGAATTCCTCACGAAGTTTAGTAACACTCCTCCAAAGGTAACTCCACCACCTATTCCAGCAGCTGCTTTAGAAAGCTTATTGAAAAAAATAAAAAACACCATTGCTACTCCATCATTTAATAATGCTTCTCCTTCAATCAAATGATTAAATGCTGCACTTGCACCTAATTCCTTTAACAAAGCAACAACGGCTACTGGATCTGTTGCAGATAACACAGAACCCAAAGTGAATGCTTAATACCAATTCATGTCTTCATTGCTATAGAATAGGAACACTTTAAATACAATTCCTAAAAGAATTGCTCCCTAAGAATAATTAACTCAAAAATACCCAACCAACTCCAGGGCCAGCCAATAGCAGGATATTGACCATTTGGTATTTGAATACGTACCAATCGCAATTAAATGCCGATTCAAAAAGCAGAACAGGAATAAAGATATAAACAATTAAATGTGGATGCATATGACTCAAGATACTAGCACTTTCTCCCAAATACCCAAGAGTGCTTTATAATAAACCTATCAACAATCCACAAGCTAAGACCATAGGAGAATAGGGAAATCTATATATTAAAGTTTGCTGCATTACTTGGTTTTCTTATTGAACTCCCTTAAGGCTAGACCCAATAAGATGCCAAGAGTTAGCAAATATGCCACATTCGCAGATTCCTCCATCTTCTCTTCATCTCTATACAATGAATCTTAGATCTAGGTGCCTTCAGTTGATGTGATGGCTTCACCTTCTTGACCCATAATTTAAATAAATTTATTATTTTTTACTAAACCATCATATAAATGTAAAATCACGTTAATTATATTCATTTAATCTATAATAACTTCCTGATCTCCTCAGCTGAGAGTGTCTCTCTCTTCACTAATTCCGTAGCCAAGTCCTTTAGTTTTGACTCATTGACTTTCAACAAACTTTTGACTCTATTGTAGGATTCCTATGAAATGGTTAAATTTATGATACTTCCAATATTTTCTTAACTTCCATGTCAACCATATAATCGAATTGATCACTAGTTTTCACTCTATCACTTTAAATTGAAATCAAAGATATCTTGTCATCCATTCCTAATTATTTAACAAACATATAAGCAAGATCAGTAGCTTTGGCCAAATCATTACTGCATCCACTTGTGATATCATCTTTTCCCAAGAACAGATCTTCTGCTGCTCTGCCACCCATAGCCACATCAATTGATGCAATGATTCCCTTTCTTGTATAATTTAGTTGATCCTTCTCCGGAAGCATTGAAGTCTAAGTCAAATAAACATTAATACAAATCCCAAAGCTCCACCCCTTGGAAGAATTGTAACTTTGTGAAGAGGCATGGCTCCTTCAGTCAACAAACTGGTTAAGGCATGTCCCCCTTCATGATAAGCAGTCATCAACTTCTCCTTATCACCAACATGCATATTCTTTCTACCCACTCCCATCGCAATTCTATCTATTGCAAATTCAAAGTCTTCAGTCGTTGCAATCTACCTGTCATATTTTATTGCATTCAAAATTGCTACATTGACCATATTTTAAATATCAGCACCACTGAAACCACTGGTCTATCTTGCCAAATTGGTTGGCAATACCTTTTAAACATCGTATTTAATCCTTTACAAATAATACGAAAATATCTATTCCCTACCTTTCACATCTGGCAATGGCACATGAATCATTTTATCAAATCTTCCTGGTCGTTTTAATGCTGGATCAAGAACCTATATTATTAATATACTCATCATACCTATTCAAAATTGGTTGCCCCAATCACTATTACACTTTCACTCTATTTAAATCCATCCATCTCTGTCAATATTTAATTTATTGTGTCTCTCGAATAACCTGGGTCTTATGCTCTCCTTCTCCCTCCAATACTATCTATTTCATCTATAAAAATTATTGATGGAGCCTTCTGTCTTGCTGTCTTAAATATTTCTCTCACACGTGATGCCCCCACACCCACAAACATCTCATCAAATTCAGATCCTGATTTATAAAAGAATGCACATCCCGCTTCTCCTGCCAAGGCTCTAGCCAAAAGTGTCTTACCTGTTCCTGGAGGTCCTACTAATAAAATGCCTTTTGGCAACTTTGCCCCAGAATCAGTATACTTTTTTGGATTCTTTAAGAATTCCACTATTTCTTCCAATTCTTCTTTGAACTCATCTATTCCTAATACATCATTAAAGCGTGTAGGAATGTTTCTTTCCTCTTAAACTGCTTAGTTGCTTCTTAAAATGTTATAAAAACGATCCATTCTACCAGCTCCTTGTTCGGGAGCATCTTTTTAATTTTTTTCATTTTTCGACTTTGAATGATTTGGTTAAAAGAAATAAGCCATCTAATAAAGGATGCCTGCTGTTATCAACAATTAGATCATTCCAGGTAGTATTAGTGATCTACGCTTGTCACTGTATTAATTAGACTTCAAATTGGTTACTGCAATACCGTATTGTTCCTATAATTATTGATGTTATTTTTCAGTAGCATTTTCACGAAAGTCATCTACTGTTAATATTCTAATCATACCTGTTTACCTAAATATACGAAGTGCATCATCATGTAATTTCATACGATTCAATTACCTTATGTACTTGAATGCCTTCTCAGGATTTTGAGGATCTGAAGCGAATTCTTTTTGCAATAAACGCAAGTTTTAAATATTTTACTGATTCACAAGGAATGATGCATCAGGTTAGATAAAAGGTTTGAAGTCAAACTACTGATCTGGAATATTGATAGCCTTTTTAATTAAATCATCCTTATTTAAACTAAATGGATTTTGCATAAGTTTAAAAGAAGGCTCTAATATATCAATATTACCATCTTACTTCTGAAATTGAATAGCGATTTGTACACGAATCCCCATAGAAACTAAAATACGATTTATAATAATTACAGGTCCTTTCATTGCAATAAAATGCACAAATAAAAATTTATTAATCTATATCTATTGTATTATAATCTAAACTTCTTTCAATTCATTCTCTTCCTGCGTGTCTGTGATATCAAATATCACTTTTTAATTTTTAATTCTATGAGGCTTTTCAATTAAAAATTATGAATACTAAATATATTGACTACTTTCAACTTCATAATAAATATATATATTTAAATTATTAACCAGCCTTATAGATTAATTTTGAATTGTTTTTAGGGCTTTGATTTCATCAAAATCGTATTCGATTAACAGGGTTAATGAATAATCCTAACTTTAAATATTTAATTAATCATTAGTTATCATAAAGTGCCTGCCAATTATAAGGCTTAGATATTTTAATGTTTCATAAGATTAGAGATTTATTAACCTAAAAATTAATAATAATTTTAACTCAGCATTTCCTGAATAATAAACTCTTTGTTTTACTGATGAAATATCAGATAATTCTTGCTTTAATTATGAAAAAACAAAACATATTACTTTTGAAATGGAAAATTATTTAAATGAATCGTTTACTCAAATAAAAATAGATTATAAATATAATTTACTGCTTCATTGGTAATAATTAATATTATTTCACTTAAGTGTTTAAAATACTGACATTTTTTATTGTTTCTTTTTGAAAGAAAATTGGTCTAGAACGCTCTTGCTTTTTTTTGAAATTAATCCTTTATTGTAATTTAATCTATTTTGTTCTTCTTCATATTGTGCAATCAAGCCAAGATAATACTAAGTACTATTTTATAATTCCTAATAAAAATATAGTTGATAGTTTACTTCTTTAGATTCTGAGCTAGAGTTTCTCTTCCTCTGCAATTCAATCATATAGAGACAAGTTTTGTATTTTTATTTCCTTTTATCATATATTAACTTAACTTCCGATGCCACTGATGGAAATTCCTTTAGTAAACTTCGAAAATTTTCATAAGAACAAAAGAATCTTAATATAAAATATAAGTTACAAATTGGTAGGTTCTTTAGCTATAGCAAAATATTCTCTGTTGATATCTTCGAAAGCTTCAATCTCACCAAAAAATGAAGCTTCTAATAATGTTATTAAAGTATATTTGTCATGAGTAACAAAATTTACTTTTCCTTTCTCTATGAAATAAATATCTGTTGGTGGATCATCCTCTCTATATATAATCTCTCCAGGATGAACTTCGAGAAAGTTAAGATGCAACAAAATTGTAGCTGTAAAATTATTATCTATCTTCAATAAGGTTACACTTTCTATCAAATATTTGTAACAAATCATCAACAATTCATTACGTAACTAGGATGGCAATTCTTGAATCAATTTTTTTGGATCTAATGATGTATAAACATTCTTTAAATAATTGTTTCGATAATATTTATGTACTTTGCATTTTAATGCATATGGCAATTTGACTCGAACAGAAAAATCATTGAATAAATGCATTCTCCTCTCAAAATCAACCCATTTTTTGTCAACATTCTCCAAAATAGAAGACAACTTTCCTAATGTGTATGAGAAGAAACCAGTCCCAAAAATCATCCAAATTATAGCAAATATCCTTTCTTCAGTTGTTGTTGCCCTAATGTCTCCATAACCAACTGTAGTTAAAGTTTATAAGCTCCATTCAAAAGAGGCAATATATTAGTTATATAGTGATGCTTCCTTCAAATTAGATTAAGCAACCCAAGTGTCACCTTCAAAATCATTAAATTTGGCTACAAAGTACCAAAAGCAGGCAACCAAGTGATTTATTAGTAAGATTTTCCCTAGCAAGATCAAACCTTTGATTATTCCTTCATTTATTCCGAAATATGATAAGATCCTGGCTGTTTGAGTTTTATTCTTAATATTGAGATTAGTCTTTGATATTTTTAATAATCTAGCGAGACGATACAATCTTGGCAACCTAATTAATCTTAATAATTTATTATATCTTAAGGCTGGAGCATCTGTGTTGTCATCCAAAAAATATGTGATTGGTAAGACTGCAATAAAATCAATTACAAACCACCCTGTTATATATTATTTTGCTATCAGATAATAATCATCAATGATTCTATATTCTTCATCAAAAAATGCACTTAGAAAATTTATTACAATATCTGCGAAAAATAATACATCAAATATTATATCAATCCAAAACCAAAACCCATCGTTGCCTGAATCAATCTATTTTCACTTTAAAATAATTACAAAACAAACTTTGAATGGAGTGATGACAGCTGTAGCTAACAATAAAAATATTAAGAGCAAATTCCAGAAGGTTTTAAACTACTCATCAGGATAAAACATGTAAGTTTTCTTCTCCTCTTAGTTTGATTTAAAAACTTCATCTTCAATCATATTCATATGATCATCCTATCTAATGGCCCCGAAAATTTTCACTCTATTTTGAAATGACCTCATGATTCCAATAAAGTAGGTTGCCAAAAAGACTCTCCTCCAAAGTGCCACTAACATTGTTTTTTTTTCATGTTTCAATTTTCTATAAAACGTAAAACTTCTCATAAAATCCACCTTTCCAAAGAACACATTAAATACTGTAATTTATTGATCCATCATTTTAAATATAATGTTTTTTAACACTTATATTATACCAAAGATTTAAAGTGTTAAAAAACATATTATCTTAAGTAGAAATACATAATATCCACAAGTACCTCAAATAAAACTATAATGATTTATTTTGACATAAAAACATTTTAAAAAAATTAGTTCACAAAAAAATAACAACATTACTTATTCATGTGAATCATTTTTTTGTAAATTTAGAATTATAATTACTAGTTGATCATTTTTATATATATATTCAATTATATTAACTAATATAAAAAATATCCCTCTATTGTAATATTATATTATTAACTGTAGATCGTAACAACTATTTATTAATTTGAGTTAAACAATTATTTTCAAATGAAAATTGAGATTTAATAGAATATCCAAATTATTTGTTTTAATCATGTATACGATAATTTGTAAAATGACCATTCCTTTTCGGCTTACTTGTGTTATAATAATCTCATTTCGAAGCCTTATGTATCAAGTTGCATTATATAGATATAGATAATTATATTAAGATATTTTTAATTTCTATCGACAGTCATTTTGCTGAAGAACAATCTACAAAAAGTTTTAGTCTAAAATTATTATCTAAATAATATTTTCTCATTGAAATAAATCCAAATAAAATGTTTTATTAATTATAATAATATTTTATAAATGGGAGCTAACAGCTCAAAATAAAATTTTGAATTATTAAACGAATACAATTTTCTCAATATTGCACAGGATGATGGATATGGAGAAATTCAACTATTTAGTAATAAAACAAAACGAACCGATTAAATGGCACTCATAAAATTTTACGATCAATCAGATATGGAAAAAAGGGCTAACATTATTCAATTGAGGTATATAATGATGTTATGTAGAAAATAATAAAACAATCAATACTTTACAAAAATATTGGATTATTAGGTGCAAACAACAGAGGATTTATGCAGCAATATAAATCTTTTGCATGTTGGATTGGAATATTTAGAAAAAAGCTTATAAGATGATATCTTAAATCGAAGAGCCAATGATAGAACGTATTAAATCATAAATTATTCTTAATAGTTATAATGAGGGAGAACTTTGGTATTTGGCATAAACCATTCTTTCTGGCTTGAAAGATCTATAAATAAATAATCTGTAATACCATGACTTGCATCCAAACAATATAAGAATCAAACTAAATGGTGAAGTTAAGCTATTAGAATTATGTTGTTTAGCTAATCAATAAAGTGCCTATCAAAAAGTCTTTACTCAATTGAGGGAAGTTGAATACCTTACTCCTGAGCAATTGTATGTATTGGAAAATGAACGTTAAAATGTAATTATCATTATCTAGAATTTAAGGATAAATAAGAATATTCTATTGAAAAACAAAATGTATTTATACTAGGTGTTATTTTCTTGGTATGCATAACTAATATGGATGTGAAAAAATTCTATAATAATTTTACTTTTAATTCTGAGCTAGCTAATTAAAAACTGAACAGTACATTTGAAAAGTACAATTACTCTGATCCAATGAAACACTTATTAAAAGATTTATTATAACTCAACACATATCATAGACCTTCATATCTTGAAATCTTAGATAAAATATCTCACGTGGATTCCAATAGAATATCTCCAAATTTATATGCATTGAATATGCAAGATCAAGCTATTAAATCAACATTGCGTATTAAGAGTTAGAATAATTTCTCATAAGAGTAAATTATAGAAAGCTAGCCTCAATCTCTTTATGAGTAACACAACCTTATTAATGATTCCTTTAATAGATAGGTCACATCTAATTTCTAAGCTAATTTAGAATCTGCTCCTGTTGCTGAAGTAAACAAATAAAACAACTATGATTTCGAAATTACTACTCAATCAAAATATGAGTCCAATTATCAATAGACTCATATCACTTCATAAGGTGGATTGGATAAAATTCGATAACTAAAAGAAAGATTCCAAGTTCTAAAAGGAGAGGCTGTTTAATAATAATAAGCTGCCACAGTTCCTACTACATTTACTCATCAAGATGATACTGAAACCTATAGAATTTCAAACTAAAATATTCAAAATCCGTATCAACCAAACTTTTTAGATATGGACCCTGTCATATAAAGAGCTCTTCAAAAAAGTAGAGAGGTAATGTCCAAATGCAACCCGTATTAAACTACTGATCCATATGTTCCCATTCTACCATAAACAAATAACTCATTTTTACCTTAACCTGGAATGCCATCCAATATTCAACCAATTTAGACTATACCTTTAGGAAACTCTTAACTAAATTAATATTTTCAAACTTCGTAATTAAATCCTCAATTCCAATCGCAATTTAACTAATATAATCAAATAAATTAAGCATAACCTCCACCCTAATTATTGTAATAATCACAATTTTAAAAATAACCGTCCTTTTCACAATCATTTTCTCCATACATTTAATAGAATGAATAAATATCGCCTTTGAAATAACCAGCCATATCCCAATATATCCAGTAATAAACCATACCACCTCCATCATTTAACTAATAATAATCCATGTAAAATATATATTTAATCTAGGTATCAACCATATGTTAGGAATGATAGATTTTCATGATTTGAAAAAAAATATTAACTGAGAAAATAGATTATTTATTAGAATATATAAATGTTTATCATATATCTATATTATTTTTGAAACAATTGTAGATGATCAATTATTTTTAATCACTGTCTTGTATTTTTAAAGAATATTAAAATTATTCCCTCTTCTAAGAGTATTTTCGGCTGTTTTATTTTCCTGGTGTTCCACTGCTGTCTCTAAGTATTTACTAAAGTTGTAATCCTTATGTTTAAGGGTCTTATCAACTTCAGTAGATTCACTAGTATTGACTTCGGAGCTCCTTTCTGCCATACAAAGCAAAGTCTTTGTATTTCTTCGAAATTCTTTCATCGCCAATTCTAAGTCATCTAAAATACATTCTTTAGAAACTATAGAGAATCCATCATTATCTTATATTTAGAGAAACTTTTAGAATTAGCAAGTGAATTTTCCAGGCTCTTAAATAAAAACAAAAATAGTACATTAAACTTAAATCTTTTCAATAGCAGCTGGCTTTGGCTAGATTTCTTCTTGAATAGGCTATTTGTCTTGCAAATTGTCTTTTTTTATTCTTGAATAGATATCAGTTTAATGACTCAAATACCTTCTGTGATCTATATGATTTTTTTAAAAACTTACATCCTCTATTTTAGCTTGTCCCTTAAACTTAGTTTAAAGGGATTGTTAATACTTTTGGGTCTTAGGGATTAGATACTGGTTCTGTAATAATAGCTTATTGAGCAACTTTATTTTCAGTTTTGGGTTAGAATTTAAGTTTTTCTATAAATTCTAAAATCTATTGAGATGTTTTTGTCTAATCTTCAAGTAGTAGAGTGAAGTTTTTGAAATGGCTGTTTACAATAAGTAAAGGATCAATAATTAAAGGAAGCATTTGTTTTAAAAAGTCAACAAAGGCTGCCCTTAATAGCATTTATTCAGACATAAATAAAATTAATTACTTAATAAATCTCTTTTATTACTAAACTCTCATTATAAAAGAAGTAATAAATTACAATCAGTAATTTATTATGCAAAAAATATTCCTTTAACAATAACTAATGTTGTTAGGTTCAATTTTATTTCTCTTACATTAAATATAAGCATATAATTCTCTTATCATTTAATGCAATACGAACTAAAATAAAAAGTAATTTTACAAAGAAACTACATGAATTTGAAGAATATAATCACAAAAACTTCTATTAGGTATAGATGAAATAGATATGTGAAAATATTTGAATAAGGATAAATTAGGGGAAAGTGGGATAAAGTTTATTTAATGGTTATTTTAGTGTGTATTATGTATAAAATAATGATATATTTTCTAAAGTATGTTAGAGTTGCTATAATAATCATGGTAAATTAGGGAAATTAAAAAATGCAAAGGGAACAGCAAAAATTAATATAATATTATAAATATTCAATAAAGATTCTTTCTATCTCCTTAATATATATAATTGAGTATAAAAAAGTGGTTTAAATAATTAAAATTTATAATTAATATATATATATATATAATATCATTTTTTTTTATTTTCTTTTTTTTCAACAGATTTAATTACTCCAACTGCAACAGTTTGTTTCATGTCTCTTACTGCAAATCTACCAAGAGGTGGATATTCAGAAAAGGCTTCAACACAAATTGGTTTGGTTGGTATTAATTTAACAATTGCAGAATCTCCAGATTTAATAAATTTAGGATTTTCTTCAATTACTTTAGCTGATCTTTTATCAATTTTAGATATTATCTAATCGAACTTACATGCAACATGAGCTGTATGACAATCTAAAACTGGACAATATCCATTTTAAATTTAACCAGGATGATTGATTATTATCACTTGAGCATTAAATGAAGTAGATTCTTTTGCTGGATCATTTTTAGAATCAGAAGCAACATATCCTCTTTATAAATCTTTTACTGATACACCTTTGACATTAAAACCTACATTGTCTCCTGGTATGGCTTCTGGGTGATCTTAGTGATGCATTTCTATGGATT